ATCCAATTATACACCACCTTTTTAAGAGGGAAGACGATGAAAGGTGACAAAGGAAAGGGGAGAAGCTTTGAACTAAACAAATGAGGCATGAGCCTTTTACTCGGTGGTTGGCCAAAGCTGACGACCCCAAACATGGCGGCCATTCATTCAAGCCTCTTTAAGTTCAATACCAAAACAAACCTGAGATATGGCAGGCTCTTTTTTCCTCTCACGACTTCTTATCCGATTTCAAGTTCAAATTGAACCATTTCTTTTTAGATGCTTTATCTTTCCCGTCGGAACCACCTTCTTCCCCATGCCCTGGGCTCTCGCATCTCATGTCGTCGCCAACAACTCTGCTCGAGCTTCCGTTGCTAATATTACTAACCGATCTGTTGACTGTAAACGACGAGTGAATGGTATCTCTCTGTTTTAGCAGCTCATCGACCTGCAGTTACAACCACAATGAAATCTCAGAGGAAGCAGGAATGTTGAAGCATGTACCATATGAAGAACCAAGTGACACGAAATAAGCTAGTCAGTAGACCATCGTCCCTAGTTCTAAATGGGTCCAGACTGTCACATCAGCAGTTCAGCAAACTCAATCCCTAACAAAACATGGTTCTATGCCATTTGAAGCACAGATCCTACTAACTCGGGTATTTACAAACACACGTATAGAAAATGGGGGGAATGCAGAATAGAGACATTCAAAAGGGAAGTACTGAAACATACAGCTTGCTTTTCTTGAGTGTATTTGTTGGTTACTTCCTGAAACCGCGCCAAGGCCTGCAGAGACATTTCTATGAGACACACGAGACAAAAGAAAGATCAAAGTGCTTGATATGGTTAAGCATCAGAAATATCAACCAACATACCTTCCTATATTCCGTCTCAAACTGACGTAGATCATTTCTTTTTCTTAAAATCTGGGTCTCTATTTCCTTGAGCCTTTCCGTTGTATCTTCATATGATTTTGCACAAAGTGCTTCAATTGTATATGTAGCCGTCTTGAAAAAATTGTCTCCTAAAAAAGGTTTGCAGAAGAGCAATCAGACAAATTTATAATTCTTTGAAAGGTTAGCAGTAAAACTTTAAGAGACCAGGTAAGGTTGTCCAGACCGTAAACAGCAAATATATGAGTGCCAGCTTTGAGTTCCGAAACCTCACAAGGTTGTAGACCTTCCAACCTCTTAAAAAATGCGGCATCAGGATCCTTAGCAATTGCTAACTGCACCATGATAGATAATAATCTTAGATGTTTATATATCGTAAAAATAAAATCAAGCAAAGAAAAGGGTAAAGTCATTTTAAAGCTCATACCGCATTCACTGTTGAATCCATTCTGTAAACTTGAAAATGCAAGAAATACATGCCAGCAGATGTCACCTTGCCTGTTTTCTCACTATCTTCCTGCAGAAGCAAAAAGATATAATACAAATGCGTTATAAAGCTGGTGCTAACTTTGAGCAGTAGTTATCAAAACAAGAAAAGTATACAATAGAAGTAGACAGGAAATGGCAGCAAAAGAAGATTGGCGGAAGGGTGAGAAGCATTCAAGCACCCACATCGAGAAAAGCAAAATCTTCAAATTTGTGGTCATGTTAAGGTATTAGCGTGTTCCTATAATAGCTAAAATAACTAATTAGTTGGCGGATAAAGGTCCATAATTCTGAAAGCTGGGTATAATTAAGTGTCATCTACCCCTGATATCACATGATGGGTGATTCACAAGCACGAAAACCTGAATTTTTCCACGAAGCCATGAGCTTACCCAATCTATTCCTAACAACTGAATTTCCATGATGAACAATACAGATCTACAAGTAAAGGCAAGACCACACTCTAACTCAAAGCAGTGAACCATAAAAATTTCACCAGTGTAAGTTCTCCTGCATTCACTAATCACTAGCACAAGACCGCATCAATGCATAACCCCAAGAGAGAAAACCAAATTAATAACCAATGGACAACAAAATTGGACATAGTGGACCTAGCTGCCTCCACTGATTTGTTTTATTTGTGAGTAGCACCAATTAGTACTTGGTAAATGAACCTTCAAATATGTAATGCTCAGACTATCAGTATTACAAACTTGGTCTTGAACCAAAACCCCCAGATTACACGTACGAAAAGTTTCAAATAACTAATGTCCGATATCCTGAATGTTAGGGCCTCAAAGCTAGGGCCGGACCGAGCCCAGGGTTAGGCACCACTGGAAGCTTTGATATGCACCAAGAAAGCCCAATACAGACAATCTTGTCCCTAAATGCATTGTAAAAGCAGGAGATGAATTTAAGCAAACAAATAAGGAAGAAACACCACCGTCATCCATAGAAACTAGTTTTAATAACTTGTGGGTACTTAATGAACACCATGATTCTCAAAACATCAAACAAAGATGGGAATTATGAGATAAGAAGACACTTCACAAACTCTCCGAGTGAAAGTATCAATTTGTATCAAGTAAATATTCAGTTGTAACAGAGGATTCATTTCAAGACAACCTGAGAGAAAGAGAAACCACAAAAAGAAAGAATGAGATATGAAGGTACCTGTAGCGCTAAACCATAGCCACCGTTCACGTCATGTTCAAAATAAAGCAACTGAAATTGGAAAGGGGAAAAGGCTGAGCCTGCATCATTAATATTACTCGGAACTTTGCCGGGCATAAAAGAAAAGACTAGGTTTTTGTGTGTGCAGACAACCTTAAATTTGCTCTGTGCACTTGAAGAAACCCTCACAACAATCCCTGATTCAGCTTGTTGCTCGCTTATTGTTACACCAAAGAAGTGTGCACATTGTTTTTCCACCTGAAAATCATCCACCAATACCAGCTAAGAATGTGCATAGTAGAACACCATCAGGCAAAAGAAGAGACTTTCCAAAGAGAGCACCGCACCTTTCCGCTAACTGATGTGCCAATTGGAAGAGGTCTGATTGTAACAGTCCCATTCAGAGCTTCTTCGAGTACATTAGCAGAAATTGTTGTCTTAATAGGAACGCCAAGCTTGCTACAATGATTGAAATAATTTCAGAAAGATTCATGTCAAACTCCGAGTATCGAAAACATCTACTGCTGAAGATTACAGAATTATCACAATTCAGTTTCACACATAAAAATACCTGAATAATGCAGCAAACACTGTATTGACTGTTCCCAGGTTTGACAAATCAATTTCCATGTCCATACTTTCTGCATCTAGAGCCTGATTGGGGATTGAAATTTTTTACATATTAGGTGTTTCCAAAATTACCGTGAACATATTGCTACTGCACAAATATGAAGAATATACCAGAATATAAGAACAGATATCACATTCACACAAACCCAAAGAGGTATATACAGAACAAACAAGCTATTCATGCAATTGTAAAGGATCGAAAGACTGGCCAGCATGCTCCATCACGACTAATACCTCACACCACAAATTTCTTCACAATCAAAATAACCATGGATCGTCATAGCAAGGCAGTACATTTTCCTATACCCTAACCCCACCCACTCTCATCCCCTTTCTCTCTTTCCTGTACATATCTATAGAAGAAGGATGGTGGTTGGTGCCAATATCATCTATTCAAGGAAATGTGGAGCTGCACCATTGTGAAGTTCTGGTGAGCTACACCAGTTCTGCTAGAATATTTCCGTAATAAATGAGGCTTTAGAAGTTAGGCCATGAAGCCAATATCCAAATGGTCTTTATATACATGAGAACCCAGCATGCAAGTTCTATGGTACTCCACATGTTTGATTATATAAAAGACAGCCTTTCTAAACTGTGACATAGACCTAAGCTCTCTTCCATTATGGTTAGACAAAAGCTCGCTTAAGCATAAGAAATGTAGAATGGTTATCGGAAGGAAAGGTAAAGATAATAGTTTACTGAAAGATCACCTCAAATCCTGCACTGTCATACTGCCTTCTCTTCTCTGGGTCAGATAAGATACTGTAGGAATATGCAACCTCCTTGAAAAGTTCTGAAGCTTCCGGATTGTTGGCATTCTTGTCTGGATGATACCTGCCCATGATTTACATCATTCAATTAATAAATGTTGATTAATCTAAAAAAAAAAAAAACAGATTAAAGATGGCCACTATCAAACTAAAAAACACATACAAATGCACCAAAAAGGAATAAAGAGAATCAATCAGACTAGCTATGAAGCTAAAACACTATAAACTGAAAATGCAGGAGCGTATGCCTTAGCTGATCATATGCATGTACAATTGCAAGAATTAAACCAGGTTGGAATCCGTGGAAAGAAGATTTAATAAGGATTCCAGTCCAGTTCAATTAGACTCTAAGCAGACATAAGCTGCAGAAAGCAGCAGTATGATCATTCCAGAGAAGAAACAAGACATGGCAAAAGGTAACTGAGAGAAACTTAAGTCCACCAATTTGGTGCGGAAGTAGACACTAGCAAGAGGTTCTATTTCCTTAATTAACCAGCACCATGAGGGAAAGTGGAAATTTTCATTATTATTATATCACATACTTTTCTCTAGACCCCATGTTGGAAGAGTACCTTCTCATTGTTTGTTCAACCTGAGAACTAACTTCAAATCTCTGTTTATCAGCAGCAGAAGCACATGGAGGGCTAAACCTTTGCCCCCTCATAAACAAACCATCACATTTTCTCCCTACCAAAACAGCAAACAACCTCCACTACTTCCACCCTCTCCATCATTCAACTCTGTTTCACTTTGTGCTATAACTTGCTTACTTTGTATCCAATCCCAGTTCACAAGACATATATATCATTTGGATGAGAAATTCTAACAGATCAATTTGACCAATTGTTTCGTTTTGAGACAATCTAGCCAAATTATTTGTTTGGCAGCATAAAATTTGGATGAAGCAATTTGGCCTGGGGAATTTCAAATTGACTCATTTTGATGCAAACTACAATTGTCTGGGGTGGGGCAAGACAATGCGAATTGATTCGTTTTGTAAAATGAGTCAATTAGCCAAATTGTCTCGTTTTTTATATGATCCACCAAACGAAACCACATTGACAAACTCGAAACAAGCAACTCCGAGCAGGTTAAATCATATTGTTTATCCAGCCTTATTCCTATGATTGCAAATGAGTGCTAGGCTCCTTCCATGTTCTCTGCCCATGAAGGAAAACAATGTAACTACTAACCAATGGCCGATTCAAGCTGTGTAGTTAACATCAAGCGGGATTCTATCATGAGCACACTGCATACCCAAGTTGGGTTTTCTACTCTGAAAACATTTACAGCATCACAGTACAATAGCTACTCTAAAGAAAAGGCCTTTACAACTCGCCTGGCAAATCTTCATCCGTTATTCCACAAGCTCACTTAGCTAGTCTAGCTAACATGAACAAAATTGAACAACTCCAACTGGCACGTTCTCTAAACCCATTCATACAAAGATTGCAATCAAGAAAAGCCCAACAATTCACACCGTAACCCATAATAAATGGACGTTTTCTTTCTGAAGAAGTGACAGGTATAAGAACTTACTTCAGAGCAAGTTTCCTGTACGCGGTTTTGATTTCTTGATCGGTAGAATCCCTTGAAACAGATAGAACCTCATACGGGTCGCGCCGAATTGCTGGAGCTGCACCTGATGGAGCGCTTTCCGCCTTCTTCGAACTCATCTCAACCCTTCACTCTCCCCCTATCCCTCTCTTCTGTCACGCTCTCAACTCAGTCTCTCTCAGCTATCTTTCTCCTCGGAAACCCTTTTCAATCCAAAGAACTAATCTTTTCATTCACCGCTTCGTGTCCCCCTGCAAATCTAACAGAGCGCTTAATTCCTCAAAAATTGGATCCACTGGAACTGAAATTTTGGAAAATTACGCACAACTCAAAGCAATTCATCGGGATCCCTCTTTACTTACTCTCCTCGGGAAGATCAAAAAAGTAAATCGCTTAATTTGTAAACCTGGGACACAAAATTTTAACTTTACAGCACTGTAGAAAGTCGCAACGAAATTTCGAATTCAATCCAGAGAACCCAATGGAGAAGAAAGCGAGCATTCTGGTTTTAGCAGGTGGAAGAGGGTTTGTTTACCTTGGTTCTGTCTCTCGGTTGGCTTTTGTCCCTTTGCTGCTGAGTCTCCTTTTCCTTCCGCTTGTTCTTCTAAATCTAGCAGCTGCTGCTTTGCAGCACGACGTGAATTCAAGGGAATGTGGGTTCGTTTTCCTTTTCGCTATCTTTTTATAAAATTTTGTCCTTCTTAAGATACAGAATCAGGATTATGGGCAATAGTGTTCTGGTTTTCGCCGTCAGATTCCGTCCTCCAGCCTAAGATTACCATAGAAGAATTCAGATTACCATTCAAATTAATTCATTATATTTCTTTCCCAACATGTCAGATACGACATAGGACATTGAGTCATTGAGTACGTATCATTAGTTCATTACCGACGTTCAAATAACCAATGAAGAAAATCAACCTAAGCAACCAATTTTTTTTTTTTTTGGTAAGAACAGGGCGCTTAGGGCGCCCTAACCTTTATTAAGCACGAATAAATCGGGGGTTTCACCCCCCACACGATCAAAGAACAGCCAGTACAGGAGTTTAGTGTCAGGTCTATCCAAGGTATGAACCCCAATCGAACGGGAGTGACCTACAGAAGGTTCAGTCTCTGTCTGATCTCTGCGACCTGAGTAAAATGAGAGTGCCTCGGGGTCGCCTTGTCTATCAGGTTATTTGCAGTGGACGAATCAATCTGTAGAATCACCTTCCTGGCTCCCTGTTCCCAGGCGAGATCCAACCCATACACAATACCAGCCAGTTCTGCACGAGTGATCGAACCCCCTCCAAGGTTCGCAGTGAATGCTTTAAGAAAGCGGCCATCACTCCCCCGTATGATGCCGCCGCAGCTCGTGCTTTCAGGAGAGAAGGTGACTGAGCCATCTGTATTGACACAGACCCAGTCCTGCGCCGGTGGTTGCCAGCCAATTTGGCGCTGTTCCCGGAGTCCCCCTCCTCCGAAAATCGCATTCTCTTTCTCGAGTGCTTGGATGGTTTGGTCTCGGAGCTGTTTAGCATGGAACCGGATTTGTGTATGAGCCTTCAACTCCCCTCGGAACACGTAACCATTCCGATTTTTCCACAGTAGCCAACATGTCCCTGCGAAAAGAGTGTTGTCAATGGTAACGCTCTTATCAGAGATGTAGTACAGAGACCACCTGTGTATATCTGGCTCGAAGAAACGTGAGTCTGGCTCCTCTCCCAGTAACTCCGCCCAGGTCGCCCGGGCGTAGGGGCAGTCCCGGAGAACATGCAGCGTCGTTTCCGGGCCTCCTCCACAGATTTTACAGTCGGTATTGGTTGTGAGATGCCTCCTTCCTCTCTCCGCATTCGTCAACAGTCGGTTATGGTTCAGCAGCCAAAGAAACGCCCGGATTCTCTGCAGAGTCGGCGTTCGCCACACCGATTTCCAGATTGGTTGGCCCGGGTTTTGGTTCGCCGTAGTGTCCGTCAGGTCGTAGGCCGTGCGCAAAGTGAACTCGCCGTTGGGAGTAAATCGCCATACCAGCACGTCATCTTCAGCTTCCGTTGGGACGGGATGGAGCACAACCTGCGAAACAAGCGACTGAGGCAAGTAATAATGAAGGAAATCCGTATTCCACTTACCATTTAGCACAAAATCAGCGACAGGCATGTTGAGCAGCGCCGGAGGGAGGTTCTGCACATGGTCCTTGAGGATGGTAGTATCATTCAACCACCGATCGCTCCAGAACTTGGTCGTGAGGCCATTCCTCACATTCCACGCCGTCGCTACCTCCGTGAAATGAGCAACCCTCAGTACTCCTCTCCATACGTTTGAGAGACGCCCAGTTTTGATAAACCGCCTGCCCTCTGCTGTATTCCTCGAGTACTTCGCGAGGATGACCCTGGCCCATAGCTCATCAGGCTTCGTGAGCAACCTCCATGCAATTTTCAACATGTAGGCTTCATTGGTTCTTGTAGAGTCCCTCAGTCCCAGGCCCCCTTCATCTTTCGGTCGGCAAAGAGTTTCCCAGTCGACGAGGTGAATTTTGCGGCCCTGGTCGGTGCTTCCCCAGATAAAGGCTCTTATCTTCCTATCGATATACTCCCTCACACTAGCAGGCAGGAAGGTTGTCTGCATTGTATAAGCCGGAAGAGAAGCCAACACTGACTGAGCTAGGGTTATTCGTCCCGCGAGTGACAGCGAGGATGCTTTCCATCCTGCGAGGCGGGTGTCTATCCTGTCAATCAGTTGCTGGAAAGTGGCCTTCGAAACCCGATCGTGAATGACCGGGACGCCCATATATCTTCCCAAATTTTGAGTGATCGGGATCTGGAGCTCATCACTCAACACGTTCCGACATTCTGTACTGGTATTATCCGAGAAAAACACCCGGGACTTTGGCCTACTGATTTGCTGTCCCGATGAGGCTCCGAATTGCTCGAAGCATTCATTAATCACCTGCACCTGATCCCTGGTCGTCTCCCCAAATAAGATCAAATCATCCGCGAAAAAGAGATGGGAGAGTGCTGGGCCAGCTTGCGAAAGCTGAATCGGCTTCCATCTGCCCCCCCCCCCCCCCGCACCGCTTCATCGATGATGTGCCCCAGTCTTTCCATACAGAGCGTGAACAAGTATGGGGATAGAGGGCACCCCTGCCGGAGACCTCTAGATGGCTGAAATTGCTCTGTTAATCCCCCATTCCATTGGATTTGCATGGAAGCTGATGATATACATGCCATAGTCAGGTCGACAAAGTTACTGGGGGCCCCTGCGGCAGTCAAGGTGTCTTTGACAAAGCCCCATCTTATCCGGTCATAGGCCTTCGCTAAATCCACCTTCAGAACCATCCAACCTCTCCTACCCCTTCGAGCCCTCATTGAGTGTATGACCTCCTACAGTATACAAATGTTATCGGTGATATGTCGGCCAGGGACAAAGCTAGTCTGGGTTTCATGGACTAGGGATGGCATTAAATTCTTTAGGCGCTCTGCCAGGCACTTAGTAACTGCTTTATAGGCCACATTGCATAAACTGATGGGTCTGAATTGATCTATGGTGATAGGTTGCTTTTGCTTCACCTTCGGGATAAGGACCAGGATAGTGGAGTTCACTTCTTTGATCTTCTCTGGGTTGTCCCAACAGTCGAGGGAAAAATTCGTGAGCGACTGGCCGACCGTTTCCCAGCACTTCTGGAAGAAGATTGGGTTGAGACCATCCGTCCCCGGTGCCTTGAGAGCGCCCATGGCCTGGATTGCGCCGCGAATCTCTTCCATGTTTGGCGTAGCGGCTAGCGGTTGCCACCAAGCAGCCTCGATTTCTGGGAAATTTCCTTGTAGGGCAGGTAGATCCCCCCCCCCCCCTCGTCCATGTATAGCTGGCTGAAAAAGACCCGAGCCATTTCTAGGAGCATGGCCTGCTCTTCGATCCAATTACCCGCGTCATCCTTCAGCATAGTCACCCGATTCCTGCTTCTTCTTCTGAGGGTCCTAGAGTGGAAGTAGGTCGTGTTCTTGTCTCCCGAGCTAATCCACTCGAGCCTGGATTTCTGGCATCAGAGCAGCTCTTCTTGAAATAGTACTAGCTCGAGCTCCTCCTGGGCTTGATAGAGTTGAGCTGGACCAATTTTATTTTTTGTATACCTTAGCAAAATTTAGATTATTTCCTGTTTTCTTTGTTATTGATTTATTTTTAGAGTGTGTTTGAGTAGAATGATTTGGATTTTATATTTGAGATGTGGATTTGATTGTGTGAATCTCAAATACATCCCGTGTATTGTTTGTGAATTTCAAATAAATATAAAAAAATAGTGATTTGAAATTCCCCATAGCAACATACCGTACTTATTCGTAAAATTTTAAAGTTCGGGTGCTATAATGCAAGACAAAAAATTATAAAGATACTAAAATATAATTTTACAATCAAAATTTCTAAATCATTGGTAAAAATAAATTTTGATACTATTTTGTAATTTTCCAAAAAATTTGTATGTGACGAAAGAATTCAAAATTGAAAAAATCTCATAATATATAAAATGCCAACAAGTCACATATGAGTATCCAAAGAATGAATTTGAATTACATGTATTTCAAATTCATGATTTCAAATATGTATTTTAAAATATACCTATCCAAACACACCCTTACGATCTTTCCTTTCTTAATGTTTGATGCTTAGAGCTTAGTTATGGTGTGTCTCATAAATAATTACTGGAGTTAGAGATTGTAAGGTGTTTGTGCCAAGTAACCCCTCGCCTAACGTCGTCGGGCTTCCTTACTAATGAACCTCTTCTGGGCGCCTGGGTCCTGCACCAACAAGCGCCTAATGGGCTTTAAGATACCCGTTAGCACTCCGACGCTCAAGTCAGTCACAAATCTAGAGAGATAAGTGCTAAAAGAGGTTTTTAGTGAGAGAAGCCAACCTGCGTAAATGCCACCTACCAAGCACTATTTATACTCGGCGATGTCCCAACCAGACTCCTGGAGTTCAGCCCTCGTCAGCACTCCATTAAATGCTCGGTATGGACCAACGGCCGGGCGCTTCCACGTGGCAGCTCCTGGTCTCCCTATCCTGGGCGCCTGGGGGGACCACCTGCCAGGTGGCGCGCCCTCAGCTTCCAACCGTTTGAGATGCACGGTCCCCGCCCTATTCTTGTCGATATGCGTCTATCTCTCTCTCCATGGGCCTTACTCCCATTCCTTCATGCCCTAGCTCTTTACTGGGCTTGGGCCCAGACCCTGCCTCTCGGCCCATACGGCCAATAGCTCTCTTATGCTTACCCAACATAAGGAGTGAGAAACTGCAAATTCTCCATAGTATCATACATTGCGTGGGAATTCGGCTATGGTCCTTATCCAAGACTATGTGGATTCAGCCTTTTGATAGATGTATGAATGACAAGTATAGCAACTGAATTATGAGATTATATAGTGTTCGGCCGATGTGGAATGTTAGAAACATAATTACCAATTAGTTATAATTACGAGTTAAGCACAACAACATAGAGTTCAGTCAAATTAGGTTGTTTTGAAATAGGAGTGTTTTCATGTTATCAAGCGTTGTCCTCGATGCAAGCAATCTACTGAGACAGTCCTGCATGTGTTGCGGGACTGCCCCTTTTCCCGGTTAGTTTGGATGCAGCTAATCCCTCTTTCTGATCACCAGCGCTTCTTTGGCAGTTCACAGCAGGTTTGGATCCTTGATAACCTCCGGCATCAGCAGTTCAGCACTTCAGCCTCGAGTTCGGAATTACTTGATGGGCCCTTTGGAGGTCCAGAAACGATCTTGTCTTTGCAGGAAAGATCGTCCCACCTGAAGCCTTCATACAGCGGGTCCGAGCTTGGTTACTTGTAGTGAGGAAAGCTCTGGACCAGGATAGGCTCATTCATAGGCCTAGTCCACCCGCCAGAACGGAGGGGCTGATCCACTGGCAGCTGCCTCCTCCCGAGTGGGTTTGCTAAACTCTGACGGCTCCGTTCTCCCTTCATCAGGCCATGTTGCAGCTGGTGGTCTGATTCGTGATCACTTAGGACGTTGCTTAGCAGCGTTCACTATTAACCTGGGCACCTGCTCTATAACCCAGGCTGAGTTGAGAGGCTCTGTTGAAGGCTTACAGGTGGCTTGGGATGCAGGTCTTCGCCGAGTACTGGTTCAACTGGATTCCCAGTGTGCGGTGCAGCTGCTGCAAGGCGAGACGTCCGATGACCATCCTTATGCGGCCTGCATTTCCCGTTTTAGAGAACTTTGTTCTCGGACTTGCAGTGTGAAAGTGTCCCATATCTACCGTGAAGGCAATGTTTGTGCTGATTACCTTGCTAGTCGAGGTCTCTCTCTTCCTTTTGGTTGTCATTCGATCCCGGACTCTGATCCTTTGCTGTCTTATTGGACCTTGTATGACTATCAGGGGGTTTCCATCCCCCGGTTGGTTTTGAATGAAAGATAGGGTGCTCTGCATCCATTACAAAAAAAAAACATGATTTTTAATACAAGTTGAGTCGTTCAATTAGGTTTCCGTCCAGTTTTTTCCATAAATATCCTAATAAAAAAGCAACGAGATATAAGAATACAAATTTGACAATAATTAGATGTAGATGTGAAAATCCACTAGTAATAAGCAAACTTTCATGAAGAGTTTATTTAGTCTTTAAGATGGACAATCCTTATGAAAATTGATCATACTAAAGGAGACTCACTATCCAACCTCGGTCAGCAGAACACCACCAAGTACATGCAATATTTCCTTTCTATGCTTCTTCCAAATTACATGTTGAACATCATAGCAAAATAGTGCCTTGGAGATGTCATGATAAATGCACTAACATATAACTTCTCATCAAGCTAGAAGTTCCACCATGAATGGATCCAAAACATCAATAAAGAAGCGTCCAAAAAACGCAAAGAAAGTGATCTAGGAAATCAAAGTTTGACTTCGATTTGATCGTGGTCCGATCGAATACTGTAATTTGTGGCATCATAGTTAAATGAAAGTCGATCTTAATTTTATATCACGGTACAGATAAACCAGTTTTTGGCTTGACCATGATGTAACCAAAAAATTCGTCATTTTTAGCAAAAATATCTACTCAACCTCGCTATTAATAGTGGGTCTAAATTGATGGCAATGAGGCTCGATCGTGACGACGGAGCACTTACTGGGCAGCGAGATAGTGTTTGTTGGTGCTAAATTGGAAAGGGAAAGCTAATAAAGTAAAAATAAATAAATGATAATTTTAAATTTTTAAGACGATGATTAGTAATTTTTAGAGCTAAGACTAAAAACCATCATTCTAAAAAAAATGGTCGGTGCTACTTCTTTCGTCTTCAGTATTAGGGTTTAAGTGGCCCACTAGGTGCTGTTGATCCAATTCAATCTATCGTCCCTTTGTTTCCCGAGCCGAATCGATTGGATTCGAGTTGAAACTTGGTCTGGCTTTATTTTGGTTGTAGCATTAGTTTGCGATGCCTCCCTTCCACTGCCTTTACACTAGATCCTAAGTCACCCACCTCCGACCACAAATACCATCATTTTCTCCACTATCATCGTTGGACCGCGCCATCATAGGTGGCCTCGCTTTTCCCTCGGCGAGTTCCTCCATACCAGCGCCCTCAAGGAGATCAACTCTTACACTCTCATAACTGTCGTAGTTGGAGCTTCACCCCAGAAATCTCTGTCACTATCGCTTCTGCTCTGTCATCGTATATGGTGATCGTGAGGCGCACTTCAAATTCAAGCCAGAAGGAGAAGGGAAAGGGTTTAAAGTGATAGAGTGGAGCAGGTCGGATTTTAACCGCCTCGCGTCAGATAATGTTTGAGGCGAAAATTGTCAACCCGTCGCGGGGGGGGGGGGGGGGGGAGCAGATCGGATCAGGAATTTGAGGACAGAGCAAGGAGCGGATTTAACACTATTTGCCCTGAACATGCCCTGTTGCATTTCCTACTCGAATTGGATAATATTTGTCTCCAATCTAGTTTGAAGGAATTGAAGGAATTCCTACAATTATGAGTTAGGCATAGTAGTATAGGGTTTGGCCGAATTAGTTTGGTAAGGAAATAGATATGCTATTTTTGGGAATTCTGGTAAAGGGAGCGATCAATTACAAATTGTGTGGTGAAATATGTCGCAAGTCTGTAATTATCTCATTCAATCGATTTTTATCAAAAGTGTGATGATTTTTTTTTTATCTGAAACATTATTTCTTGTCCAAATTCTTAAATTGAAACTCTTGATCCGGAGAGTTTACAAATTATCGTTCTTTTTTCTCAAATGTGGATATCAAGATATTCCATAATGAATTTCTGATTCCCATAAAAAGTTGAGTTGCATGCATTATCTTTACTACTATTACGTAACTATATTTCCTCAAAAAATTAAGTTTACTATTGGCGATTCGAAGTCACAAAAAGATTGATGATAGAAATAGTAGAGAGTAGAGACCAACCTAAAACCAACCTAGAGAGAAAAACCCAACAAAATGTCACCAAGACACCAACCCTAAAGTAGAGAATATCGTTCCAATGCAAATGCCTCTCTCTCATGCCACTTTCACTTCGCCACCAACTTCACTCCTACGGAAAATCCCCAAACCTCTCCTTTATATCCCATCCCCATTCCACACATCCTTTGTGCTACTAATACCAAAAACCATTGTTAGCTCCCCTCAAACAAACAAAAATGTCACAGAAAAATGACGACCACCATCACAGCACTGCACTTAGACGCGTCCCTACACCAGGAAAGGCAACTCTGCTCGCAATCGGCAAGGCTTTCCCAAGCCAACTCATCCCTCAAGAATGTCTCGTCGAAGGCTACATTCGTGACACCAAATGCGACGACCCCGCCATCAAGGAGAAACTCGAACGATTATGTATGCTCTCGAAAACACTTGACGTGCAGTGGCAGAGCCACATTATAGTTAGGAGGGGCTATACCTCCTCCTCAACTCTTAAAATTACGTAAATTTATATGTAAATTTTGTAACGTATTTGCAAAAACAAAGTAGGTGTTAAAAGCTTTTATCTCCTCTCTCCTATTCAAACCCTTTCAAACGCGAATTTTTAGCACCCTCATTTAGATTTCTGATGACGCGATTTGTGTTTCATGAACTTAGGCAAAACGACAACCGTGAAGCGCAGGTTCACCGTGCTGTCGAGGGAGATACTGGACAAGTACCCGGAGCTGGCGACGGAAGGTTCCCCGACGATCAGGCAGAGGCTGGAGATCGCGAACCCGGCGGTGGTCGACATGGCGGCGGATGCCAGCCTGGCGTGCATCAACGAATGGGGGCGGCCGGCCGCCGACATCACCCACCTCGTCTACGTGTCGTCCAGCGAGATCCGCCTCCCCGGCGGGGACCTCCACCTCGCCACGCGCCTCGGGCTGCGGAGCGACGTGGGGCGCGTGATGCTCTACTTCCTCGGCTGCTACGGCGGCGTCACGGGGCTACGCGTCGCCAAGGACATCGCCGAGAACAACCCGGGCAGCCGCGTCCTCCTCGCCACCTCGGAAACCACCATCCTCGGCTTCCGCCCGCCGAGCAAGTCCCGCCCCTACGACCTCGTCGGGGCGGCGCTGTTCGGCGACGGCGCCGCCGCCGTGGTGGTGGGTGCCGACCCGGTGGAAGGGAAAGAAGAGGGGTTCATGGAGCTGAGCTACGCGGTGCAGGAGTTTCTTCCGGGGACCCACGGGGTGATCGACGGGCGGCTGTCGGAGGAAGGGATCAACTTCAGGCTCGGCAGGGATCTGCCGGAGAAAATTGAAGGGAACATTGAGGAGTTTTGTAGGAAATTGATGAGGATTGGGGGTTTGGGTGATGGGGTTGGGTTTAACGAGCTGTTCTGGGCAGTTCACCCGGGTGGGCCGGCGATACTGAACCGGTTGGAGGGCAAGCTCGGGTTGGAGGAAGGGAAGCTGGATTGTAGCAGGAAGGCGTTGATGGATTATGGGAATGTGAGCAGCAATACGATCTTTTATGTGATGGAGTATATGAGAGAAGAGCTGATGAAGAAGAGGAATGGAGGAGAATATAAGGAGAGTGAAGAAGAATGGGGGTTGGGATTGGCTTTTGGGCCAGGAATTACCTTTGAAGGTGTTCTTCTTCGTAGTCTGTGAACCTTAAGTTTGGATGATGATCGATATGCAGAAGTTATGAACTTATTATTATTATGAACTAAATAATGGAACTGTATTTTTTTTGTTTATTTTTACTGTTTCATCAGTTTTTTTATGAGGTAAAAGATTCTCTTTTTTGTCAAACTAGCTTAGCCGCTTAAAGCCAAAGGTAACATAGCCTAGTGGTGAAAACACTGGTCCAATTGAGCTCTGGATGTGAGAGGTCCTGAGTTCGATTCCCAGTGGAGCCACTTGTGCGTTCCCGGCGGCACCCTTGGTATCGGAGGCGAAGCCTCCCCGATGTTGGTAGCAGAAAGCCCCGGTTAGTATGCAGGTACCCCCAGTGGTTTAGTAGGCCCCGCTGTCGCTCAAGCGGCACGTGGGGCTGAGGTTCCCTGGGTTATCAAAAAAAAAAAAAAAAAAAAAAAAAAAAAAAAAAGCTTAGCCGCTTAAACAACATCTATGTATTACTAATTACGGGGTTGGGTGATTTTGTGCTAGATTACATTACCATGTTTCTCTCTTTCATGACTATATAGACGTGATTTGGATGAATGAATCGTGAAATTTGGCTGATTTGGATGAATGAATCGGTCCAAGACTATTATCCACCGACGATAAAGTCTATTAAGCGTCGATTTTATCTGATTTTTTAGGGCATTTTCGTAAATTTTGGGCTATTTTTTCAAAGATCATTTTCCTTGAAACTTTACGGTTTAAGATCATGAATTCGGGCTGGGAATATTCTGCATCGATGATTAAGTCTATTAGGCACCGGTTTTTGCGGATTTTTTTCGGATTCATTTTTGGCAAATTCCAAAGTATAGGTGTCAAAACATGACCCGACCCGAGTAACCTGCCCAACCAACCCGATCCGCGACCCGCCCGCAACCCGTTTGGACTAAAAGTCAAAGACCCGCAACCCGCCCGACCCGTAACCCGCTTGACCTGCAACCCGCTTAACCTGCAACCCGCTTAACCTGCAACCCGCTTGACCCGCAACCCGCTTGACCCGAACCCGATTGACCCGCAACCCGCTTGACCCGCAACCCGCTAGACCCGTAACCCGACTAACCCGAACCCGATTAATCCAACCCGAACCCACCCGATTGGCACGAAAAATACTACATAATATATTTTTGTGCATAAATATTATATGTAGATAATATATATATAAAGTTTATGTGACTTACCCTATAGATAAGTAGAAATCCTAGGAGGGTTGTCAACATTTTTTACATTTGGTTGATGTATATAAATAATATATATAGATAACACATACATATGAAAAACATGATTGACTTAATTAAGCCAATCATATATCAGTACCTAATAATTACAACATTTTTTCTTCCACACATAATATAACTGGTCACATAACATTGTCAAAATATTAACCTAGCATACGAAGATTCATAATAGTACATAAGTCATAACTTATACCCTAGCCCCAATAATAAGAAGATACATAATAGTTTGCTTACTAAGTTCTACCATATAAAAAATAGTAGGATACAAATACATAGCTGACATTGTCACATCTTACATACCAACAAAATAGGTTCACAAATTAAAATGACAATTCACTTGCCGATCAATCAACAAGCTTCACTTCTTCTCCATCATATTATGCATCTTCATTATCCTCATCTGTACAATTAGTCATTGAAAGTAAAAACACCATTGTAAGTAAACTCTCACCTACTTTAGTATACACAAAGAATAGAAATTTTCTTACCCATTTTATATCCATGCATCCAATTACGAGTTGTCACAACAGCTTCAAGGGTATCAGACAAAATGGAAGTCCTCCATTTGGATAATATTCTACCTCCCAAACTAAAAGACGACTCTGAAGCAACTGATGAAATTGGAATAGAAAGCACATCTTTTGCCATCCGAGAGAGTTGAGGATATCGAAATTGACGATCCTTCCAATATTGCAATACTTCAAAAGGAAGCAATGTAGGAACCCCATCAATGTCTGCATAAGCAGGAATTAAAGGATCCGCCAAATATAACTCCAACTCGGATCTAGTTGATGTGTTCTGATTGATATTGGAAGCATAGAAATCCTGAAATTAATACATATCATCAATAATCAGACATAAGATCGAAAGAAGTATAAACAACAAGATGACTCAAAAGGTAGTTAGAATACTTACAGCAATGTGGCTATCCAAAGGAATGCTCGGAGAAGTCATATGCACCACACTTTGACTAGGTAAAGTGGACGATTGAGTTTTGTACTCCTTAAAGAGCAGCTCCAAATCATCCATAATAGCCTTCGGCTTTGAAGTGTACTCTTCGCCCAACTTTTCATAGCAAAATTTGACAAATGCAAGCAGCTTGTAACGAGGATCGAAAATGACACCAAAAGAAAGCACTAAGTTGTAGTCTTTCCAATATTTCAAGAACTTGGACATCATTGTGTTTCCCATACCTCTCATATCATCATCAAAACTTATACAAAGATTCTTCAGCTCAAGATGGATCTTCCAAACATTCTCGAAAAACAAGTTACTTGTTGGGTACTTGGTTCCCGAGAATAACTTCGTGATTTCATCAAATGGCTTCAAAATTTTTGCAAGCACCTCCATTTTCTCTCAATCATTATTTGATGGACAATCCTTATACTCATTATCCATCCTTGCTAAGTTGACAAAAGCTTCACGATAAAAGATTGCTCGATCAATCATATTGTAAGTTGAATTCCATCTTGTTGGCACATCAAGCCACAACGACTTTGACTGTTTCATCCCATTTTGTTCAACACACTCCTTAAACTTAATCTTTCTTCCTTCAGATCCCTCAACATACTTGACACTTTCTCTAACAGATTTGATACCATCTCTAATCACCTTCAACCCATCTTGGACAACAAGATTCAGTATATGTCCACAACAACGTATATGGAAGAACTTGCCAGCACATAATAATCCATTTTGTGCATTCAACTGATCACGCAATTCATTTTGCATAGTAGTCATATTGCTAGCATTATCCAATGTGATAGGGAAAACCTTGCCATCAATACCCCACTCCCTAAGCAAACGATAAATTGTTGCTTTCACTCTATAAGCTGAATGTGGAGGAGGAAGATGGCAAAAACTCAAAAGCTTGCTATTCAACTTCCATTCATCATCAACATAATGAGCCGTCAAACATAGATACCCTCTACTTGTCAATGAAGTCCACATATCACTTGTCAAACAAATCCGACTAGAATTCTTTTGCAGATCAGACTTCAGCTCAACTTTCATTCTTTCATGCATCTTCATGATATCAGATTTATGTGTGTTCCTTGAAATTGGTTTAGCATTACTGTTTAGGTAATGATGCACCTCTCTATTTCCAATATGCTCAACACATCTAAAAACATAATCATGCATAGGACTGTAGGTGAGGGGCTTCTAAAAACATAATTACTTTTATAAATAAATCAATATGTAAAAAATAGTAAAATTAATAATTCATTTCATTAAATACGGATATTAAACGTGTTATTAAACGGAGTATTTACTAACTATGATGTATAAGGTATACGGTAGTGGACTCGTGGTTTAGTAATCGGAAGATTAGGACGTATGTTCTTCTCAATAACTGAATACAAAATTGACTTAACTAACATTCTTTACATATCATACGTTATAGTTTATACTTTATACCAACAATTTCATAACACATAACTATAGTTCATGGTTTAAGGTTAGTGTATAGGGTATACGGTAGTGGACTCGTGGTTTAGAGTTTGGAGTCATAGGACGTATGTTCTTCTCAATAACCGAATATAAAATTGACTCAACTTACATTCTTCACATAACATACGTTATAGCTTATACTAACAATTTCATAACATATAACTATAGTATAGGGTATAGGGTTAGGGTCTAGGGTTTATTCATGGTTATGCTTTATGTTGGATATTTTGATTTTTATAGTTTATTAATTAATTTGATTTTAACAATTAGTTTAACTTGTGAATGTACATCTTAAATATATCATATTCAAATGACATTCCGACCAACGAATCGAACAACAAACTAGTTAATCGGTATAAAATTTATCATCTATAATAATAAATATCAAAGAAAGGAAGAACTAGATGTTTATGGAAATTTTTTGAATGCAAAATTCAAAACCCCCAAATCTTTGCTCAAAAATTCCCTTGCAAACACATTTAAAAAAAATCCCTCTCATAAACCCCCTTCCCCCAATATTTGATCAAAAATAGAAAATTACCTCCCCCAATATTTGATCCAAAATTGGAATTCCCCCCATCCCAACCTAGTTTTCCGTGAAAAAAAAAATTATTAACAATATATATATATTTTTATCAATTGAGAAGGGGAAAAAAATCTGAATGGTTAAAGGTCGTCCTAAAAATTACTAACAATCGTCCTAACTTAATATGTAATTTACCAAATTGCCCATTTTGAATTTCAAAATCAAACACAAAACAAACAACCCTTCCCCCTTCCATAAATCTAAAAAAAAAAATATAAACCAAAATCCAACAAATTATCTTATGGACCGAACCATAAATTGTAGTAAAAGAATAGAAAATTATTGATATAAACCAAACAAATCCAAAAAAACCCAAAACCCCTCAACCGAAGCCAATTTTCGGTTGTACCATGGCTCAACCTAAGACAATTTTCGGTTGTACCATGGACCAACCGAAAATCATCTTCGGTTGTACCATGGCTAAACCTAAGGCAATTTTCGGTTGGGCTTCGGTTGAGGGGTTTTGGAATTTTTTTTGAAAAAAAAATCAGATTTTTACCTTGTCGGAGTCGCTACTCATGATTCGGACGTATTCTCAACGATTACGACTCAAGAATGTCAACTATGAATTCGAGAGTGTGGAAAATTAAGTATTTTTCATTTTTTTTACTTAAAGTGATGTTTGTTTGCTAAAAATGCCAAAAGGTTAAAAGTGTAACTTTGTTATTTTTAGGACGATGAATAGTAATTTTAAGGACGACCTTTATCAATTCCCAAAAAAATGGTCTTCTACGGAAAAAAATATCTGTCTTCTACTAATGAAGGATCGATAAAAAAAAAATGAAAGAAAGAAAGGAAACACAAAAATCGATCTTCGCCTTCTCTCTCTATCTCGGGCACTTTCCCTTTCCCTTATCCTTTCTGCGCCTCTCTCTCAAATCTCAATCGGAAAAAAAAACCCTCCCTTCTCCTTCCCCTCCGCCGCCTAGTTGTCGTCGCCGTTGTTGTTATTGACGGAAGCAGAGGAAGCGGAAGCAGCCCAAGGTTTTCCTCAGGTAGACTTTTCGCTTTTACTTTGTTTGTATTCTGCTTCATTTGTCAGAGTTTTGGTACTTGGTTATTTTGGGGATTCCAATTTTTTGCTTTGTTTTACAGCTCTAAGAAGACTGGGAAAGGGAAGAGGCCTGGGAAGGGCGGGAACCGCTTCTGGAAGAGCATTGGCTTGGGGTTTAAGACTCCGAGAGAAGCAATTGAAGGTCTGTTTATGCTCTCTTTACCATTTTTGGCTGCTTATGCGGTTAAACTCTTTAGGGATTTGATGCTTGTGAAATGCAATACCCAACTACTTTTTAGCTCCTTATTTCTGCCGTGTAGGTGTTATTCTTGAAATGGCCTTATAAGCCCTCCTGAACCACAAAAGGGTTGCTTAAGGAATCAAAATGTGTAGTAGTGCGACTATCGTACCACTTAACCCATGTATTTTAAATTAATGTTGCATACTTGCATATAACAGGAGATGTGATTGCCTGATCAGGGTGCTCTCCTAAGTGGCTCAAGTTAGGGTGCATAACCATGGGTTATGCACCTATCAATAACTAAATCTGGAATTCTGGATCATTCATTTAAAAAATCCAGATCTAAGGATGGAGAATTAAAAGTCATTTTTATTTTCACTAGCTTTCTTAATTGACTCATATCTTTTTCGTTTTAACTCGGATTTTAATTTTTTTTGCGCAGATGGAACGAGTTCGTCATGCTCTACAAAATGGGATCAATTTTCAATATTTTTTGAGAAAAAAAAATTATGCCCTCTCGGTACCAACTGCATACCATATGGTATCTTCTTCGTTTTTAATTCGTTTTTGAAAACGTTTGCACAGCAGGGACGAGTTCATAATGATCTATTGGATCTACAAATTTCTGGGTGAACAAATTATAAGACAAAAAAATATCACACAATACCATACAATACCACCCTGGTACGGGGTGGTATCTTATGGTATCTTATGGTATACAATGTTAAAAGTCGTAAATGACAATTAATATACTTTTACTATCATGTATTCAACCATCCTACAGTTTTGGTTTGTGTCATACCACCATGGTACGCTTTTCAAACCATAGGTATGCTCTTATTTCAATACCAGTCAATACCATATGGTATAGACTGGTAAAAAATGGCTCAATTTTTTTTGTTCGAAAAATATATCAAAGTGGATATCATTTTGAAGAGCACAATTAATCTGATCTAACTGTGCAAAAAAAAACGACTTAAAACGAGTGAGAAATCGTCCGTCAAAGATTAAGGAGGGTAAAATTAAAGACTTTTCAGGAGAGAGAGGATGCTGATGTCATGCTGATATAGGCGGGTTACTCATAGTTACTCACCATAAGGTTACTGACCCTGATCTGTTCCCCTCCTAAGTAAACCTATTGAAGACCTACATTTTTAAAACTAAAAGACACAGGACTTGATTTGTTTCACTTCATATCCAAGAGGAGTAGGATTCAACCAAAAGTTAGAAATAACTGTCAACGTCCTATTTCCTTCTTAGTCCTGATCCAGAAAGTACCAATATGATTTCCCCACTTATATGAAATCAATTAGGACAACTGTAGAAGTGTCAATTATGGGAAAGAATAGAAATAGTGAACAATAGAAGTCAAGGCAACCAGACTAAACTAAAATAACTCACCACTCTTTTTGCTCTGGTTATGCTTTGGTTATGGACTTTTTCGTTTCTTTTTTCCAGAAGCAATGGACGCCAGGGCTAGAAGAAACAAAATTTGGGAGAATTTCACTCAAGTTGAATCAGAGGGGAGGTCAAGTTTCAATGCAACCATTGCATGAAGGTTTTTGGATGCTATCCTAATAAGAATGGGACAGTTTCACTGTGGAAGCATATTAAGATGTGCAGTAAGAGAAATCTTCAAGATTAATGGAGCCTTATGTACTTTTCTGTATTTCATTCTATTATATTTGCTTAAACATCATGTAATGGTCTTAACTATCAAGACTCAAGAGATTGTTTCATAGGTTTATGATCAAGCAAGGTATCAGCTTTTTAATTTCTTATATTAATTCTGTAACCTTAATGAATCCTCTGCAAAATCAAACTTGTTTTGATATATTCAAGCAAAATCTAGTCACTCATTTGTTTAATAATGTATCTTCATGTTTTTTTCATTGCAATATGGTGATCGGTGAGTTTGTTTTAAATTAGTGTAGTAACTAATTATAAAAAAACTCGATGGTTTGGACCGAACAACCCGCAACCCGACCTGTTGTAACCCGCAATCCGATCAACGCGAACCCGATTGAACCGCAACCCGATCAACCCGTAACCCGATTGGACTAAAAGTCAAAGACCCGCAACCCGATCAACCCAAACCCGATCAACCCGCAACCCGATCAACCCGCAACCCGATCAACCCGCAACCCGCTTGACCCGCAACCCGACTGAACCCAACCCGAACCCGCCCGATTGACACCTATAGGTACCATCACAGAATTCACACAATTTTTTCAAAATTCAAGGAAATCGGTCTGATGCTATTCTCCATCAATGATGAAGTCTATTAAACGCCAATTTTGGAGGGGGTTTTTGCGGAGTGAATTTTCGTCATTTTTAGTGATTTTTTCGAGAGGCTATTTTTCTTTGATTTTGAAGGCTTAAGATCACGGATTCGGCCTGAGGCTATTATGCACCGATGATTAAGTCTATTAAGCACCGATTTATGTGGATTTTTTCCAATCCATTTTTGGTAGATTCCAAAGGGGTACATCACAGATTTTATGCGATATTTTCAAAAGACAATTTTCTTTGGATTTGAAGGCTACTGATCACAGGTTCAGTCCTAGGCTATTTTGCACCGATGATTAAGTCTATTAAGCACCGATTTGGGTGGATTTTTCTGAGTCCATTTTTGGCAGATTCCAAATGGGTACCATCACAGATTTCAGACGATTTTTTCGAAAGACCATTTTCTTTTGATTTTGAAGGCTACTGATCACGGACTTGCCTTGAGATTATTCTTCACCGATAATGAAGTCTATTAAGCGCCGTTTTTTACTAATGTATTCTGGTGGGCATTTTTGTAATTTTGAGCGGCACCGATGGGATCGACAAAGAATCGAAGCGATAGGGCGTGACGACGGAAAAGGGCCGCATGAAAAAAGCCCTACTCTTTAAAATTATTTATGTTGAATTTTTATTATTATGAATATTCAGGTTAATTTTTAATAAGGATAGTTTTTAAATTAATTATAATTTCTTAAATATCCTTAATAACTACTTAATCACTAACTCCCTAATAATTAACTAAAATCTCAACATACAATCGGAAAGTTTTAACATTCTCTTTAAAGAATGAGGTTTAAGGACTGAAACTCAAGCCTCCATTTGTGGATCTCGGGTCAGAGGAAGACACAAAGTGAACCCATAGAGGACCGAGAAAGAGAAACTAGGGCTGGCTATTTGGTCCGGGTTTTTTTATTTTACCAGAAACTGGACCGTAAAACTCGGACCGACTGGGACCGGACCGGGACCGAATAGTAAACAATCCAATCCAATCTTTGGGCTTAGATTTGAGATAAAAAACTGTTTGGGACCGGATAACAAACTGGATAAAGACCGGATAAGAGAGCTCAACACCCAAAACTTAAGGGTAATTAGCATAAACGGTCACAAACCTTTGCACTTAGTACAAAACATAACCAACTCCTCACCCTTTCAGGCCTTAGGCCACTCAAATCCCCACAAGCTCAATATAAAATCAAGATCGAATTGGGACCGGACCGGATCAAAACCGGACTGTATCCAATCTAATCTTTGGTCCTTATATTTTTTAAAAGACCGAACTGGACCGGATCAATTTGAGTCAATTTAACCGGACCGGACCGTATAGCCACCCTGCGACAAACACCTATGAGCCAAACAATCGACAAAAAGATTACTTTCCCTAAACACGCGCGACCACTCATCTGTCGCTTGCACAAATTAATATTGCTGCTGTCGAATCCATTTGCAGAACTGCCTTCCAATATTCAAATTGCCAAACCAACGGAAGCCCCTCAATAACCCCTCGGAGTTACACGCCAGTGATGAAACAACTTCCCAAATTAATCCTCTACTAAGATGAAAATCAATTCCAATTTTACTGCTCAGTTCATTTATCCACATAAATCCAGTTGGAATCAATTTTATCACAAGCAAATTAAAAATCACTTTGATATCACAAGCAAATTTAGAAGGAAAAACAAGATTCAGAAATAGGCCGACGTGTCATGTTCCCGAACCAAGATAACAAAAAGAAATCAATAACCCGCCGCCACAGGCCACACCACTGCCCACTCAAATTACCCTCCTTCCACAGCCTCAAAATTCAATCCAGAAAATCCGCTCCCATGTCTCTCTTCGTCGCCAGCGGCGGCAATGGTGCCAAAACTCTCCCCGCCGGAGCCATCTCCGTACAGCGCCATCTGTCGTCTAACTACTTCCCCCGTCGCAGTGGCGTCCGGCTTCCGCAGCCGCTCTCCCCCAGGAGAGCTCACCTCCTCCACATCGTCTCCGCCAAGGGTCGGCGGGGCTCCATCAAAACCACCGAGAAGTTGGGGGAGAAACGGAACACGAATTCTGATCAGATCGAGTTCGGCTCCTCCACAGATGGCATTGAGAGCAGCGCCGGTTTAAGCAGCGGTAGTGTTGCTGACGACGGTTTTGTGATGCCGAATCTCCCAGGGGACGAAAAGGACTTCTGGGAAGGTCCGCAGTGGGATACTCTCGGCTTCGCCGTCGAGTATCTGTGGGCACTGGGTATTGTTTTTTCGGTATGACGTTGATCCCTATAACTCGAGTCGTTGGTTTCGTAGAAGAGTGAATGTCAGTTTCAATTATGCATTGCCAATGCTCAATTTTCCATTTCACGCGCAGTTGATAGCTTGTGGCGTTGCTGTGGCTACATACAACGAAGGAGCGACAGATTTCAAGGACACTCCGGCGTACAAAGAGTCCACCCAGACAGGGGATGTTTTGGAAGAACCTGGTGAATCTGTTTTCGAGTCCAATCCAACTGAGGAGGCACCTAGTTTGGATTAAGCAAATCTTTGTGAATTCGACGTGAAGAAGAATGAAACGGTCTCCCTGGATCCTCCATACATTGGCGCTCGAAGGATAGAAGACGAGACTCCATAAGGTTTATGATTTTGCTTGTCTATACATTGCGCTGAAAGGATTTGCTGCTGCTGCAAGCTCTTCAGTCTGTGCCCATGCGGATTAGTCTGCAGCGCATGCATTTGGCTATCGAAAAGGTGTAATTGCTTAGACAATCTTGGTGTTGCACAAACTGTATACTGAGATGCGCTGGATTTATAGTAGAATCTAGGCACTTCCTATAGCTACTAGTAAGTTTGATTGTTGCAAATCTGAGCTCAATTGCATAACAAACATTTAAAGTAGCCCAAAGGGATATAAAACGCATGGAAATCATCGATCTCCCTAGTTCGAGCTAGCTATGGGGTGGCATTCCGCAGCCACCCACGACACAATGTGAACATACATTACAGGCTCAGACTCCAATGCAAGCAGAGAGATGGGTCATTGTTCATGGCAATAGCCAAGCAATGGATATAGAGTGGCGGCATGCCATCTCGGAGTCAAATTACCAAAGGATAGAGTGCAAATGGATATTAAAACAAGTAAAACATTCTACAATTTCGCAATCCTGCACAGATTGCAGGCACAGTGTATTGACAGGAGTTTCGGAGTGCAGCGATAAATGATTATTAGATAAGACCTCACAAATTGAAGGAACTAAGGAGATCAAATAAGAGTTGACCTGCGGAAAGAATTCGAGTTCTGCAGAATCGCTAGCATTGTGTTTACATTACCATCCCATGCTCATTAAGTATCGAAAAATGCTTTCAATTTCAGAAAACACTAACAAAAGTCCAATTATCAGCTACTCATACCGCCTCGCCCACCTGTCTCAAACTGGTCAAAACTTATGCAGGTGGGGAAGGATGATGGACTTTGGTTGTAGAAGTTCTCAGGGAATAGAAGTAGACAAGTAGTGGTTGTTATAATGTACAATCAAGTTGTAAAAATCGTGGAGAGTATATATACACACCTATATTGCACGGAGGAAACACGTTAGAAGTGATACCGGCCTCTGTCACTTGTTCTGACTCTGACTCTGATTTGCAGTCGAGCAGTAGGAATTGGTACTAATCGCCCTGGTGTTGCAAGAACCTCCACATGCGGTAAAAGCCGATTGAAAGTTTAGTACCAGCCTCTCTCACTCACTCTGTCTCTGACTTGGGGCCGAGCAGTTGGGATCGGTCCTAATCACCCTGGTGTTGTAGGAGCCGCAGGAACCACACTTGTGGTAAAGCCAATGGAACGGTGCACTTCTTTTCTTGTTGCAGTCATTGCACAGAATATCCTGGATTTGCCACTTCAGTTAATATCCTTTCTAGATTCCGAACATAAAACATTCTGAAACAATTAAGAGGTAGTTACCTGACAACGATCCCTGTATTCTTCAGGTAGCACCTCAGAAGCCAATAGGGCATCAAGCATTCCAAAATAAACCTGGACACGGAAAACACAAGGGACAGCTCCTTTCACATTCCAGTACCAATTGACAATACAACCAAGTCCTGATATAAACTTGAAATTTTTTGCAGTTGTTGAGCATTATAAGAAGTCATAATAGCTAGGGATGACAAAATTCAATCTGAACAGCTCAACCAGACCTAACCTGTTCTTATATGTTTTGTGCAGGTAAATGGGGGTGAGGTATGTCCTCGTTTCCTTCATTCCGCCCATCCTACCACATTCTCAATGAGTTTTGTCTCAATTCTATTTGATGTTTACTCTTATTTAAATTTCTCTAACATCATATTTTAACTCTAATGAAACTAAGACTATGAGTAAGCCTCCATCTTTCAGATAACCAAGACTTCAATAGTCATGCTATTCTCTTGCTTTCCTATATAAACTATTTTCCCTGTAGTGTTTAGTACAAAAACGAAATATTGTGTCGCATATTTTCAAATCACCTGTTAGAACAGGTCCACTTGCAATGACCATTGCCCCGAGACACATTACACCAACCTGACTAGCACTTGGCAAGAGGCAGGAATGGGTATTGAAGTACCCGTCCAACCACACCCTATAGCCACTCCTAGTAATAGAATAGTATTTGTAATGCTAATGCACATATATATCACAACATGCTAAACACAGTAACACAATCTCATTCCAGCATGAACGTTACAAGAGTTCAAATAAGAGTTATGAAGTGCAGCAGCTTTGCACTGAAAGAGCTTGAGCTTGGCAACATTTATAAGATTATGATTAAAGAAAAGCTAAAATCAAGAACAACCGAAATGCACGATAGTCATACAAACTTACCGACATATCTCCCATTGACTTGCTACAAATTGGACACATGTAATGACTGCAAGTGTATGCCTATCAAAAGAAAAGGCAAAACATAAACTCCATAGTATCAGAAAAGCCTGCCAATCTCGCAATCAACAAATTTGAATATTTGATAAGGAACCAGAGTAAAGAATATACCTGAAAGCAGCTCGAGTGCATGAAATGTCCACACGGAAGGCCTCTCACACTCAAGCTTGATGTGAACAAATCGTCACAACAGATTGGGCAATTTGTTTCCAGGCTCTTCTCCAGGCATTTATGGTCTACCAACTTTATGGTAAGGCAGTAATTGCACTTCATGCAATGGAAGAAATCAATACCAAGGCCCTTCCCAACACGGCATAGATTGCAGAATGGGCAATGGTATACATTTCTGAAAATGTTCAAGGGAGAGTGAGCACAGGAGAAGGAACACAGCTTAGCAAACAGAATTCATAAACCAAAGCAAGCCCAATCCAATCCAATATATTGCTTCCAACGTGGCCTAATATTAAAACATTTAGCGAGTCATCCTGATTTTCTACCAAGAAGGGTATACTTGAGTCTTGATCATTATTCATTTTTCATGTTTCTTTCTTTTATCCTCCTCTGAAATATTGATCTCAACTAATTACCAGTGCTCCCAACTGTTCCTATCCAGACTAATTGCAGGAGGAAAATCAAAACATCTCGGAACCATAAGACATTGTACTACTACTTCTCTGTAAATGCATTCTCAAGTTCTGTAGAAAAGTAGAGATAGAGAATAGAAGAAATGTAATATAGAGGTAACTCTAATGTTTATATCACCATCTAAAAAACTTTATGTAGGGGCAACTCTAAACCAAATTCAGAGAGGTTAATTGGTCATACCTATCATCATCATAACATTTGCAGATGCTGCAATAATACTTTGCCATAGAGAAGCCGCCACAGGAAGGTGTGACACAAACAGGTCCGGCAGGCTGAATTTTCAGGCATTTCATGCACATCATCTCGGTTGTCGCCTTCCTGGTGCAGAAACAAATTATAAAGACAGATGACTTCCGACCAGGACCAGGTAAATATAAACAACATTTGATATACAGACATTCGAAATCGGAAGCAAGTAAAACGAATGAGGTCCAAAAAAATCAAAAGACAAAATTACCATGTAATCTTTTTGAAGGAAGGATTTCTCATTTTCAGGTTATATATGTCCACTCAGCCCAAAAGTTGTAAAAGAAACTTCGGCAATCAGCCAATCACAAATTTTACTTTCCATTAGAGACAAGCCCAGCACGAATGGCCACCATAATTACCTGTCCATAGAATGGTCGCTGACTTTATCATGGCAGAATTGGCACGCAAATAACTTGCCACAGCAAGCTGCGCGAAGCTTACAATTCCGTTTGTAATGCTCACATCCAAAAACCTTTTTATCTGGATCACGAAATGAAGGAGAGCACTCCAAGTTTTCACTATTTGAAGATTCTGCCTGAAGTGACTTTTGCTGGGCTGCTATCCACCGACTGTCAGAATTATCATACCGAACAAGGTAAGTAAAATATTAACATCCAAATGAGGTCCTGAATCCACAAAGCAATCACACACCTCGTCATAAGATTCTGAATTAGGTAAGCTTTTCTTCTAGGATCAAGAGTTGAATCCCGAGAAACCTTCCGAATTTCTGCTTCAAGCTCATTCTGATTCATCCGGAAAATGTCTTTCCAGCCAGGTTTAAATTTGTTATCACTGCAATCTACGCTTTCATGGATATCAGCACCTGAATGAGAAAAAAAAATAGATTCAGAGTAAAAAAATCGAAAAGGTTGTAGTACAGCAAAGAGGAAATAAAATGGTGCGACCAAGACGGGATAAAAACCCCCAATTTGTTTCACTAACGTATGAAGACAAATTTGACAACGAGCATGTTTCGTTCAGTGTAAATGGATGTTATTTGTCTAGGTTGCATGCTACGAGGTGAGGTATAAATGCAAAACGATACTGGTAAATGAACTTGTGACGGAAAAATGAAATATGCATTTGACACCTACTTTTCTAGAGTGCAATTTTCAAATACATCGTGCCCTATGTAGTTGAGATTGCATCGTTTTATGCATTTGAGGTCGCATATGTAATTTCAAATACAAACACATCGAATATGTCAACAAAAGATTATATATTTCTTCTTTGCATGCTAAATATCAATCTGCCAAAAGGCACCCGACCAAATGATATGAAAGTGAAAATACGAGTCAGAACGTACCCTGGGATAGGCAGCTTTCTGATGTAGTTATATGAGGAGTGGCATTAGAATTTCCCTCCCACCATTCATTTAGCCACTCACTAAACATTGTGTTTTTGGTTGCCTGCTTCCAAGTGTCCATCATTTTGTTCTGCTCTTCCTGAGTAAGAGCAGATGTTACCCATGGCAGCATTGACTGAAGCACCTCAGCACCAGTAGTACCAATAATTCGACCAACAATTTTATCTTGCTCCTCAACAGAAAAGTGTCTATCAAATAATGGCCACAACTCCAGTTCTTCTCGGAAAACATGCTGATCCAGTGTTACTCTTATGGATTTGCACATGCCTTGAAGCTTCGTTGCAAGCTCATTGTACTTCCTAACTGTCTCTTCACAGTCGGAAGCACCACAAAGATTTCCTGATAAATTATCACGGTGCCTGCTTCTCTTCAAGTGTGCATGGAGGTGTGTGAGCTCAGATAGTGTAGTTGAGATATCTTCAAACAGTTTCTCCTCCTGCTTATGGTCCAGCGTATAGGAATGGCTAACGTTGTGAAGCGTCTCTTTAGACTCCAATGCTGGAAATACTATATCATCTTCTGCATTGCTATGTGCTCTGTATAGCCCCCATAGCAAGCGAAACCTACCAGTGAACTGCCGAAGTAAGGGTTCACTAGTGTCATCACATAACTTCCCTGATTCAACATCCAAATACTCCAAGTCTTTGCGGATGGCTTTGTGAAATTTAAATATGTTATCTATAGGGCGAGATGCACAGCCAGTATCCGAGGGACTTACATCTATTTCCCAGTTAAAGAGACTAGAATTAAGAGAGGGAGCAGAAGGACTAACAGATAAAGAGCGAAGAGATTTTGCTGCAGCAAGAGAACTAATTCCTAGACTACTGCTATTGACTCCTAATGCCGGCACACAGCAGGATGAGCCATTTGCAGGTGGTTGGTGCAGATGACCAGTAGCCCCAGAAGAGAGGCACGAACCATTCTCGCCATGCGAAACAGAGTTTGGTCTCTTGACTGGTCTTCTTCCACACTCTACCTTTTCTATTTGGCCATCAATAAATGGCTTCTGATCTGGTGATGAAACAGTTTTGCAATTGCAGCATGGTTGTCTAAGGTCATTGGTCTTAGTTCTTGCAGGACAACCATCTAGGGGACTTGAAGACAAGCAAGCATTTCCAGAACGACCTTTACATGCCCAACCAGCAAATAGAGTCACCAATGCAGAATCTGAAGCTGGTGCTGCAAGGGGCCCAATCCACATACTAAGGACTGGAAGGGGGGAAAAACAAAAAGACATAAGAGTTGCAGAATTCAGAACAAGGCTACTAACCTGCCAGATAAATATTTTGGAGAAACAATCTTGCTTCCTGTTCAGTAAGTGATGCCACCAACCATGGCAAAACACATTCAATTAATTTCAGAGGCATCACACATAAGCTCTGGTAAAGAAGCTCCCGCTGTCTGCTAGCACTAAAATGCTTTCGAGCAAGAGGAAGAACCTATTCAGAGCATGTATATTAGTTACCTTATAGAGAGCCAAAAGTTACTTGAATCGTAAGGCCAATAATAAAAGCAGATTGGAACAAAGAAACGTCATAAGCTTCATTAACAAGAGTTTCATAAACAGTTTGAGCAATGATAGTTACCTGAACCTCCTCATTTTTAAAATGTTTTTGTATGGTGTCCATTATGTGATCAGCTTGCGCACAAAACTTCCCATAAAGCTCGGAGAGTGATATGTTGGCCCGAGCATTTTGAATGCTTTCAATAAGGCATCTGAGTTTGTCAAATTGAATTTCTTCTTCAGCATGCTCCTGAGCAAAAGAGAGTTCGGAATCTACGGCAGGGAATATAACCTTGTCCTCAGCAATACTGCAGAGAACAAAACCAGAAGTTTCAGCTCTTGCAAGAACATATGCCTTACCATACAAATAAGAGGAGCAGAATTTTCCGTGTTTGTACTGTAACATGCAGAAGAACACCTGACAGAGCTAGTGTGCTTACAAATTGCGATAAGTATAAACGAGCACGGCAGAGTAAGTTGAGAGACAGTGAGACACACAAGAACCATGGTCATCTTAAGTACCAAGAAACAGAATAAGAAATAAGAGTATGTGTACGATTAGAACCTTCTGACAGCAGAAAAGAACACAAACAATGATGAAAAATAAAAGGAACACCGCCGAAATACAAAACTCGTAGAAGTCTTGCATTATTGGTCGATATTCATTGAGGCAAAGAATAAAAAGGTTTCCAACTCAAATGTAAAAGAATAACAGTTCAGAGACAGTTAGGTCTGAAAATTGAGAAGAATATCCAGACAAGAAAAGGAAATGAAACAAACCTGTGAAAAATACAAACTTCGGCAATGAATTGCAGTCTCTTATTGAAGGCAGAGAGATCAGAAGAGTCTTTAGATAGTTGTACCTTCTTAGCTGCCTCACTTATGTCAGTCAACTCTCTTTTAATTGCATTATGCCAGAGCAAAATTTCGTCAATGGGATGAGGCAAGGTTGAACCAACAACATTAGAACTTAGCTCCATATATTTCCTTTTACCATTTGCAGATGATTCGCATGCGCAATGTATCTCTGTCGTAACAATTGGTTCTGGTAATTCTGAATCATGCGACCATGTTTTGGAAATTGAAATGGCTTCACGACTCGTGCAAACATTAGTGGGTTCTCTCCCCTCCATCCAGGTGAAAATAACCTTCATCAACAAAGGTAAGATCAGTTTCCTCCGAGCTCGCTTCAAAAACACCACCAAATAATTAAGAAAATCTCAGAAAGGATCTCACCTGCTGAAGAAGCTTCTTGTCGGGTATTATCTTGGATAGGCACTTACGCATATCTTGGTGTTCATCAGATGACACTGAGGAAGAAAGCCATGGCAGAAACTCAGCCATCATATTAATAGGAATGCTGCAGAGAAACTGCCACACAAGTGAAGCCTGCTCTTCAAATGTAAACTTCTCAATTAGCAGCGGGAAGACCTGCAGTTATCCAACAAACAGCAAGTGAGACTGATCTGTTTTGCCCCTCTACCTGCAAACTCCTTAAGTGGACTGAGAAGTGGTACCGAGCAACTTTACTCTTAAGGGATGCTCAGTAGTGTGAATTAGGCAAGTGTTGTTGCAGTAGCATGCATTTGAACAAGAACACACAGTTTTGTGCGAGCAATTCTTTAAACTAGTCTAACTATGTATCATTATAATAAAAACAAGAAAGTAACACAAGCTGTCATGAAAAATAGTATCAAAGAGCAACTAACAAAAACCCTTGCACCAAGAGGGCAAAGTAGCAAAGAGAAGACTCCACAAAGCAAACAAAAAAGGACCACCTGATTGCCGTTGGAATTAAGGCACTGCACAAGAAAAGCTATTAATTAAATAACTTTATCAAACAAGTTTACCTGCTCTTCTTCCTTGGACATATGCTGGCTTATAGATGTTTGTATGGCACCAGTACAAGAAGCTAACTCTCTCCGGTAGCTTTCTTCATTTTGTATGCTCGAATTCAGTAGCTCAAATAACTGATCGAAGAGAACACTCTCCCCCTCATGTTCTAGGGAGTAAGTCCGAGCGACATTCTTCACACGTATATCAAGGGCCGGAAAGATGACCTACAGTTTCAAACACAAAATTAATGACACCTTACGATTCCAAGACCCAAAAGACAATATGGTAAAGACATTGTCCGCTCCTTTTCCATACTCTTGACATATCATTACTGATGTAACATTTCCACCAGTTCAAAGAACAGACACCAGAACTTTGCCAGACTAACTAGAAAGATAAATTTTGGCAGTACATTCTCTGTGCATATCAGGAAACTCTAGTATAAATGGCAATCAGAATTGACTAGAATTTACTTGATCGGTACTAAAAAACTATAGAAGTTGATGATAAGTACATATATAGATCAGTCCCACACTTTTATCGCATTAGATTTAAAATATGCACTACATCTCATAAGATAAACTCATATAGCTTCCACTCTATTGACTGTTCACTGTGTGGCAGGCATATTGAATATTGAAGTTTCATTTCGCTGCTCTGTTTCACTCTATTCGCCAATATGAGACTATTTAGTGATGCAAGTTATTCCTACTCCTTCGCATTTCCAAGCACATCTCCGGAAACTCATAGTGCATTCTTAGAGTCAGGTAAAGTCAATTTGACATGTAGCTAGTGTCTTACTAGCTATTAGACAGTTTATTTAGCTCAAGGGTATAGCAGTTAAAGCTCCCTTTCTCAGCCTGCTGCTACGCACAATTACTTACATTGATGACAGGGGAAGAGAAAGGGGCAGCATATAGGAGAACGGACGAGCATAAAGCACACAATCAACATCAAATAAGCAAAAGAGAGAAACTGGCCAATGACTGTATTGTATGCCCAAAGTGGAAACTTAAGGAGTGATAATGACAACATCTCCACTGGTGTGAAGAAAAGTTATTTTATGTATCAGTGTCTAATAGTTGGAATATTCCGTTCCCGGAACTTAAGAAACTTAGAAGAACATCTAAACCCAAGAAACAGACCAATGGCAACATGTTCCACCCACCACCACTCAATTAAGTGTCAATGGAGCATCTAGGCTCAGAGAAACCAGTATGTATGAGTTTTTTGTTATTTAAGAAGTTCTGAAAGCAATGATGGAAGGCATCCGTGTAGATAATAAATACTGAGCAGATGGTGGTACTAGACTCTAGACTCTCATCCTAAAACTGTTTCTCAACAAAGAAGTCAGCCATAATAATCAACTAATCAAGGCCTGAAGGAAATACGAGTTGGAACAATGCAACAAGCACAAAACCTCCTGGCACCCTAAATCCCCAAACTGAGCAATCTAAACCAGAAGCTTCAGACAGCAATCCGAATCTCCATCGCGGGTTTTTCCATGAACAACTTGGCAATCAGGAAGAGCCTTCAATCAGATGTAGTAGCAGTCTAGCAGAGAACTCAAAGCCAGAAACGAGTCACCAACTGAGACCATGGAGGGAAAGGATTGGGATGACATAAACACCAAAAAGGACGCCATGAATCACAATTCCAGAACCCCAATTTCAAGCAATTCGACCAGAAAGGTTCGTTCAGAAACTGGAAAAGGAACAAGTAAATGAAAAAGGGGGGTCAATCGCCTACCTCATCCTCAGCATTGCAGTGGTGCTTGTAAATTCCACGGAGGAAGTGATACTTGTCCAGCAGAGGTTTAATATCTCCGCCACTGGTGGCGAAATCCATGGCGGCGCGGTGGAGGCCGTCGAGCTCCGAGCGGATAGCTTTGTGGAAGAAGAGGAATATGAGTATGGGGGACTTGAGTACGGAATTCTTGAGGCAAGACTTGGACGGCGTCGAAGGATCGATTGGGTTCAGTGGACCTGCCATTACCGCTACGCCGCCAGCGCCTCCGTCCACACCGGAAAATGGCGTCGCCATTACTGGGATTTGACCCACCGGAAAAACCGAATTCGCCGATTTCACCTTCCCTCACTTCTTCATGCAAGGCATCCTCCTCTCCTACCTTCTCCAATTTTCGGGTTCGTCTAAAATATTCTAATTCAATTCTTCTCCGTCTCTATATCTCTACTTGCTGGATTTGTGTTTCGAGAACTTTTTCGCTCCAGGACAGGATTTTATAATTATATTTTTATGCCTTCTTCATATTTCTGGTTTTTTTTCTTTTAATAATTGGACCGTGAAATTTTGAGTCACGGTTTAGCCAAGTCAGCAATTAATAGGAGGCTCCTCCATGTGTATCAGAGCTAATTAGGGGTTAACAAAATATTTTCCAATCAAATCGGATTTAAATTTTTTAAATTTTTAAACTTGATAGAATATAGATGCTTGAATTGACTCATAATTAATCGTTTCAAATATCAATAAAACGAATTCGTTAGATAAGAGCGCTCATTGCAGTTTATCTTGAAAGTTTGGTCGAAAAAGATTCAGCTCTATATTTACGAATTTCCAATTCGTCATTTTTCTCAGGAATGATTTTTTACGTCCGATTTGCCTATTGTAACCTTATAGTCGTATCAGAGCCTGTACCTTAGAATGTGACTATTTATGGGACATATGACTTTTCTTATCATTTATAAGCTGATATATTCGTCCTATAGTTTGTTTGGCTGGAGATACGAAGATAGAAATCAACAATTCGGCCATCGACAACGTAATTGATCTATTAGGATATGCGCTTTACAGTGATGAATTCCATCATTAGAGGGCCAATGCTTCTTTCTTTATAACATATATGACCGTTTGAGTTACGACCTTCTAGTTAAAAATATATATCCTCGGTAATTAATCATCTGACCTAGATCGATCGGGAAAAAAATGTTCATTCTCAAAATTAGTTAAAAACTGGAAACTGACAATTATCAAACTCGTAAAATTATATCTCGAGGTAAACAAAAATTCAAATGTAAATCTTTTGCCACATCTGCCTGCCACTGGTCTTAACGACGAACAGACTGATATTTTCTCTGCGATGCTGAGGCCGATGAGGCTAAAACCATTTTTACCCTTAGTGGGGTGCCGGACATAGGACAAGGACGATGGGATAGAGGCAAAAGTGGAGTCAAAGAAGATAGCACACGTGGCACCAACAAGGCAGAGTGTGCCACGTCAGACAGGGGGAAAGGGTCGTGCAAGGGCTGGGATCCGTGGACACGTATGGAAAGTATGAGGCGATCAGCGTCCCACCACCAGCCCGCCTCGTTTTGTCCTCCGCTCCACCTCACACCCCAATCCCAATCCGACCTGATGACGTGGCGGGGCGCAAGTCCCTATTTCTCTGACGTGTCCATAGCGATCCTTCTTGACGGCTGTTAATGTGGACCCCGACCCGGACCCGGACCCTTTGGTGGGTGGAATCGGAATGGTCAAATTTTTCCATGCACGTATAAAAGCGGAAGAAAACATTTTAAGGTGGGAATCGCTTCAGGTAATTTTGATTGAAAAAAAATCAAGAGGAAATGTTTCCTATAGTTGTTTCCATCAATGAATGCAATTCAATGGGAGGATGTCGGCCAAACCATGCATTACACTTTTTGTGGCTCCACTTGAATGCGATTCTTCTCGTCTGGCATTAACTCCTGCTCGTCAACGGCCCGACCGCAAAGGTGAAATCATTGTGTGACCAGAGTAATTGGGGGGTGGCTCCTATGTCAATACAAATAGATTCTGTGTGTGTGTTAAGACAACCCAACCTGTTTTCGTTTTGAACTATGAACTCGCTGATCGGTACGAGTTAGTTCGATTGTTTGGGTTTTAATTGTTGGATGAATTATAAGCTAGTTAGGTTAATCAAACCGGTTTCATTCGGGTAGAAGCAGGTCCGTCTGAAATCTGAATTTTTAGGATCTACTGACTACCATGCGTCGAGTCATCGGGGGGAGCCACACGGGAAGTAATGGGGTTAATGAACTCCATTCCAAAGACAGGCAAGTGAAAATTGTACTGGTGCACGTTAGTTGGCGGTCCATTTTCAACTTCCATCTCCATAGACTCAATGAAAGTCATAACCTATAGTACTTAATTGTCATTTATTTATTCATAATCTAATAGGTTTTCCAAGAAACAGACTTCGAGTATTCAGTTTACACATTACGTCTGTTTGCTGGGTTTACGACCAATTTATCGATACGACAATCTAGTTGACCCAATTTTTTTTTTGTACGGTATGAAACATCTCGGGTTAATTACATGTTTGGTCACTAAGATTACAAAAAACGTTCATGTTTGGTCACTGAAAATATTTAAATCCAATCTTGGTCACTCAAATTAGTTAAATGGTCCAAGTTTGATCACTCTCCGTCCAACTCCGTTAAATATGTCTGATGTGGCAGTCAACCCTCAAAGTTGACCGTTAACTCGGTGACGTGGCAATTAAAAAATAATAAATAAAATAAATTTTAATCTTCTACCATTTCCAACTCATTTTCACAATAAAGTAAAATTAAAAAAAAATTGAGTTGGAAATGAGTGACCAAGATTCGACCACGGATATTGTGATTGCAATGGTTATGGTCAACAGTGATGTGGCGGAAGTCTCATATGTGAGGAGAGATTAGGGAAGTAGCCATACGGGGAAAAGCTCACCGGCGACGGGTTAGAGTTGTAGACTGAGAAAAACTTTGACGATTGCTTGCTTCTACGGACATTCGCCCGCCCCAACAGCTCTGTCATCTCCCTCGTCGCCTCCCGATACTCCGCCGCGAAATTCGGCGGCGCCCCTCCTCCCTCCCCGCCGCCGCCCCACAACATGGCCAGGGTCGAATCGACCACCACCTTCATCGCCGCATCGAACATCCCCGTCGCCTCGCCGGCGCGAATCTCCCGCACCCCGCCTCAACCGCTCCCCTGCCCAGCGCGTGACACGTGTCCAGGGCCCCGCTGCTGAGAAACTCCCAGAAAATGACCTTCCGCAGCCCGACCCAATCGGGGCCGTACGACAGGTTGGCGAGGTCGATGCCGCCGTAGGTTAAGATCCGGCCCACAATCGGGATCGGGCGGGTCGAGAAGATGGACTCGTTGACCCGAAGGACCTCTTTCGCAGATCCGGGGAGCTGACCACGACCAGGGATCTGTTGAGGCCCTGGAATGTGTAGATTGGGCCGTGGGTTTCAGCCAGGGAAGTGAGCTGCCGGTGGAGGTCGTTGCGGCGGAGGAACGGGAGGTACCCGACGACCGGCAGCCCACGTGGACCCGGCGGCGATTTGGTTCTTCGGAGATTTCCGAGGAAGTAGAGAACGACGGCGGATTTGTGATTGCGATGGTTCAACAGTGATGTGGCGGAAGTCTCATCTGTGAGTGGAGAGATTAGGGAAGTAGCCATATGGGGAAAAGCTCACCGGCGACGGGTTGAGTTGGAAATGAGTTGGAAATTAAAATTTATTTTATTTATTATTTTTTAATTGCCACGTCACCGAGTTAACGGTCAACTTTGAGGGTTGACTGCCACATCAGACATGTTTAACGGAGTTGGACGGAGAGTGACCAAACTTGAACCATTTAACTAATTTGAGTGACCAAAATTGGATTTAAATATTTTCAGTGACCAAACATGAACGTTTTTTGTAATCTCAGTGACCAACTATGCAATTAACCCGAAACATCTCTTATGTTTCACGCCTTAGTTTTTACTCTAGTGTATTCTCTGTTTTTGGTTCTTCATTGCGTTTGTTCTTGAATGATAATCTCTCTCAGCTTCATAAACAATTTCTCTATCATTTTAGTTCTTTATTTGGGAAGAAGTTGGAAAAAGATCAAAATAAATGATAACAACAGGCTACTAAAAAAATCAATACCAAAAGTGACCACATGTTTATAGATCACCATCTTCGCACCATATCCAATCTAGTGATCTACCCAACCTCTTTTGATGAAAAGAAAGAAGAGGGGGAAGTGGGAAAGAGCGTGGCAGGCATATGTTTGCCACACACCCCTTCATTATAAAATTACCATCACCTCATATTTGGATCGCCCACTCACCCCAGATTCGAGATAAAACAATCCAAAAGCGTTCTGCCACCAACTTTCTCCACACCTATCAATGGAATTTCCACTGCATTTTCCTCTCCTTTTCCCTCTCGTTTTGCCCACTTTTCCCGACGGACCTTTCAGTACTTTTCAAGCGTCCGTTTCCACCTTCATTTTGTTTCAACTTTCAAGTATGTTGGACTGAAATGGATCGAGTGCAGTCTCCATTTTTCTGGAGTGCTACTTCTGTAACCGGCTGAAGTATCAGTAAGGTCAACCTTAAAATGGATCGAGAGCATGTCATGTGCAAGATTAATTTTGTTGAGAGAGAGAGAGAGAGAGCTCTTTTAACTTGAGATTTGGTAACCAAATCAATAATGTTGGCTTACAAAAGATACTCGGGTCAATACTAACAGGAGTCGCATTAGAGACCTCAAAGTTAACAGTAGGTGAAGAATTGGCGAGAGTGTGATTATAGCTCGAGATTTCATTAAGAGGCCATTAACTTATCATAATGGCGACATAGAAATAAAAAGAAGCTAACAAAAATTACTAACAACTACATACAAGATATGCTTAGGGCCCGTTTAGTATCATTTTGTTGTTGTTGTGGTTGCAGTGGTATTGTGTAAAATGATATACAACCACAACAGGAACAAAACAGAAAACACAAACCTGTTTAGTTGATAAATCTGAAAAATCATGAAAGCTGACAACAAGAAACAAAAACGCGTTTAGTTACTACTGTAAGAACTAAAAAAAAAAAAAGATATGTCCTCTATATTAAGCAAAGTCTCACAAAATTCAATTTGTCTAACATCTTTCATGTTCCTTACATAAAAAATAATACTAAACATGATTATCACTCCATAACTGGTTAGCAATGGCGGGGTCGCCGGGCGGAGGCGGGAGGAGGCGAGGCGGCAGATGTGAGGGGCGAGTCTCTGTCGAGAAGAAGAAAGAAAATGGAATGGGTTGGGGGTGGCTGTTGAAGTAGGGTTTTGGGGGGAGGGGCTGTGTTAAAAAAAAAAAATATTTTTTTGCTTCTGTGGGGATTCGAAAACTGGTCTGTTTTAATGAAATCAAGCGCCCAACCAGTAGGAATCCCGTGTGCAACATGTTTAAGAATTAGATCCAAAGCTATAAATTGTTGTTTCTCATATTTGGGCCTTTTTGTGCAACTCTGATTCACAACAAAAAATAAAAACCCAACTAAACATGTTTTTTTTCCTTGGTTTTCCAAATTTCTTAAAACACAACAGGAAACAAAAACAAGCAACAATACTAAACGGGCCCTTAGTTGCTTACCCTTAAACTAATCAATATAATCCTTGAACAAAACGAAATCAAACAACAAGCTGCCGACAACCAAATTGCAATGTGGAACCAACAACTTATGATTCCCATCGTCATGGAGCTAGACTGGCCTAGAAACCAACTGTTCATTAAGTTTGGAGGATTCCTCCTCCAGCTTGACATCCCTTTGCATTCAGCTTTACACTATGGTACGGGGATAAATTCTAGCTATTCTGCTGAAAGCTAAACCTTCCCTGTCGGAGTAAATTAAGAAACGTCAAAGGTACTTAAACTAAGTGTCCGAACCTAGGGATCATCCCCGAGCAGACAACTTCCATCACCCCAGGTAAGTGTTCAACCCTGAATTCTATCCCTCAAACCCCATTCATCTATCCAGCGGAACTAATCCAACTCCTCAAATCTCAACATCTGCCGCTACACCTCCTAACAACAGCAAGCAGTAACAGAGTGCACATATACGAAAGATCATGGTCCTAAGCAGGTTAATGTTTGCTTCAAGTAGCAACACAAAAGGCAAGATTAAACTTGAGAAAGTAATTTTCGTGCCTGACATTACAATGGCCTTGCCTTCTCACTGTTTTGAAAACATGAGATATAGCAGATCCAGGAGAATGCATGGTAGTCTCGTCAAGAATACCAGAACTACTACGGAGGGAAGAGTACATAGAACGGCCCATATACACCAACCACCATCAAGAAGCTGTCATGAAAATGACTTGTACTGTAATGGTTTATAGGGACATTGGTAAGACAGACAATGACTTGGAGAGGGTGCTTATCTATGTGTAACTCTGTTCTTCCCATCCTAGAACATCTCGGTCTGTCTATTCTAGAGCTAAGGGCAACAACAGAACACAAGATCAAGCACTTACAATTGAATCGTAGCGCTTCAAGCAGAAACTCTGGAGATCGATACATGCATATCAAAACTGCTTTCAAAAGAGTATGGCTGGCATGGAATAAAGAAGCGCATTCAACAATCTATCTAACAAACTGCAGCCTCATTGAATACTAATGCTTCACGGACTGAAACTTGGAGACGAAATCAATGAATACAGGCAGGAAAGGAAACAAATTCGATTGCAAAGAACGAACGTTATTACTATATTGTATTGTCCTAAACATAATGCTTAACCTTCCATCAAATTCAACAAGCAGAATTTGAATGGTCCATGGGAAACCTCACAAACAGAAACACATTACAAACACGATTGCTAAACAAGCGTCTACAAGAAAACGACGAACGGGTTAAAGCGCAAATACTCGATCATACAAGGAAACACCGGGAAATGGCAAAAACAAGATAGATGAACCCACTTGGCTAAAATGCACTTATCTGGCTGTTCGCCACATTCCATCACTCCTTGCTCTTGAGCCTCTCAACGCGCTGATTCAGCTGCTCGATCTTGACGACGAGATTGGTGACGGAGTAAAGCAGCCAATAGAAGATCAGCGCCGCGGCGATCAACAGGGCGTTCCTCTGGCTCTTCATGATTGATTTCTGGTGGCGGAGCTGCTCGCTCGGGCTGCAGGATTCGCCATCGCAGCTCGGCCGGGTCTCGTACTTCCAGTAGATATCCATCAGCAGAAACAGGCAGAACGGGACCACCGACAAGAACGGCTTCAGCAGGTTGCGAGTCACGGCGATCAGTCCCTTCCGCAGTCCGTCGAGGCCTGGGATTGTTAGGAGGAGGACCATGATCGCCTCCGCTCCCGCTGCGTAACCAAGCACGACCCACTCGAGTGCCATCTCTGTGTAGCCGGGAAAACAAACAGAGAGAGAATTGGATTTCGGGCAGTCGATGGAAGAAGAACCCTAGATCTGGTTCCTTGCTTGGTTTCTTGTACTTTCTTCGCTTTTCTTGCTGGTTAAGGGTGCTCGGCAATCATCTTTAACAAAAGTTCAACAATACCCCTCCTTAGAAAAGTTCCGTAGTGATCCCTAGACTTTTATAGATAACTCCAACTTGACTAATACTTTCTCATCGTTCCAAATATGGAACCAAACTTTTCTTTTTGTCTCAAAATTAAAAAATTGGCATAAAAATGTTGTAAAAACAGGCACAAAAATCAAATACAGAAAGCTCCGTCCTAAACGACGACAAGAACTTTTGTACATTATGTGAGCATGAAAATTCATAGGTCAAGAAACATAACATAACACATTTAAAGCTTCTAGATTCGATAGAAGTTGTTGGTAATTAGGTACTACGAAATCTAATTGCATCCAACATAGTCCCTATCCAACAGCTGTTACATGTTGGATCACTCAAAGATCCCTACAATGAGCGCGTGAAAGATCAAAACAAGGGGTAATTACTAATGTATTTGTTATCAATAAAAATTTCAAGGGTTAATATCTTATTTTGGCCCGAACTATGACCATATAATCAACTTTGGCCTGTGGTTTCAGAAATTAACATCCTGGCCTCAACTATGCAGCATATATACTCAATTGGCCCGACACATAGTTTGACCGTCAATTTGGACGGTCAACTCCGTTGACCGTTAGTCAACACGTCATGTCATTGCCTAGTCAGCCTAAAAATCATTCAAAAAATTATTTATTATCAAATTAACCAAAAATAAATTATAAAAAACATAAATAAATATATTTTGTGGATAATTTGAAAATTTTAAATTTTATAAATTAACCAAAAAGTATCAAATTATTTTATATTTTTAAAACTTCCCAAAAAAAATATAATATATATCATAATTTTTTAATTTATAAAATTTATTTTGATAATTTTGGTTAATTTATAAAATTTATCATTTTCAAATATCCCAAAAAAAATTATTTTATATTGTTAGAAATTTCTTTTTTGGTTAATTGGAAAATGATAAATAATATAAATTAGGAAAATAATTTGAATTTGAATTTTTTAATGATTTTTATGCTGACTAGGCAATGACATGGCATGTTGACTGACGGTCCAAATTGACGGTCAAACTATGTGTCGGGCCAATTGAGTCTATATGCTGCATAGTTGAGGCCAGGATGTTAATTTATGAAACTACCGGCCAAAGTTGATTATATGGTAATATTTCAGGCCAAAATAAGGTATTAACCCAAATTTCAATCATATAATGTTTCCAAATATATCATGAGCCTCATCTCCTTTACTATTTAGTGAATCGCTCGATGCATGACGATCCATCTAATGGAACAACTGCAATGGCCATCATCAAAGTTGATATGGAAGAAGACCAGACGAGCTAGGACTAGGACCAAACATGACATGAAAGAACAACGCAACGAATTTAGAAAGTTTGTCGTTAGTTTTGATACTTTAGACTTTTTAAATTTAGAAGTAAATATAAACTGAAGGATTAAACAGTTAATATATAAAACAATAAGGAGTGATAGTATTATTTTTCTGTTTCGCTGGCTAGTGACCAGTGACCACCCTCGCCAAGACGCGCCACCGCGGCACCGCCTGAAAAAAAAAATTAAATATAGATCAATATAAAAGCTCGACACGTGTGGAAATTCGAAATAAAGAACTCCATAGTCCACTTCGAGAAGTCCACCTCCGGTCACGTTTGTCATTGCTTCTTCCGGCACCGGTCACCGTATGGCTACTCACATTCTCGCTTTGATCCTGAAACGCAATGCCGCCGATGATGGCGAGTTCATTCTTGTCAGGCAAACTCCGCCTCCCAAATTCAATGACGAAGAATACGATTCTTTTCTGGATTCTGATCTCTGGGACTTACCGTCGACCAAACTCAACCGTGTGGAAGTAGCACTGGAACCTGGAGCAGTGATCGAAGGTCTCGCACCGTTCTCTGAAACGATCGATTTCAGGAACTTCGACATCGATGCTGCTATTGATAGGGTAAGCTATGAATTCCTCCTCAATTTCTACGCAATCCTCTTGTTCCCATTTATTTATCTGTTCTGTTCTGTTAAGTTATTCGATTGAATTCTCAGGCGTTGGGGCAAGTAGGTTTGAAGGAAAGCAATATTGGAGCGTGGAGAATTTCGAAATTCGTAGAGGAACCTGAGTTTGGACCTGGTTTGCCCGTTCGTACAATCTATATAGTTGGCGAGTTAGCTCGTGCTGACTCGCACTTACCAGGTTGATTTACAGGGTTTCGAGTGAATACCTTTAGCCTCTGGTGTTGATTTATCCATTTAAGTGATATGAACGTCTACGAATTGAGTTGTTTGTATTCAGGGAACATCACTTGTTAGTGATTTCAATGTTCTTGTTCTGTGTTTGCAGATGTCTGCAAGTGGATGTCTGTAGAAAGCTGTCTGAGTGTACTTCATGATGTTAAACCAGATAATGTTCGTGTTGGGAACTTAGCAGTGGTGGGTCTCGTAAATGAATCGTCACGGTCGTCAGAGCAGAAAGTTCACACCAGCCTTCGCTACCAGGTTTGCTGGATGATGGTTTTAGCTTGAAACATTTATGGTCTTATGAATATTTAGTTGTCTTGAGAATTCAGAAATTAAAAAAAAGCTCAGATGCTCTCTAGATCTAGAGAGATGTGTCAGTGCTTTGGTTTGTTGTGGATTGTTGTGCTCTTTTGAGCTGCGCGACATCTCAAGGAAGGATGTAAAACTCCTATTATTGTGCTCCGGCTACCATTTTGTTTCAGATTCTGCTTTTCACGCTTTCCGCTGATACAGCAAATATTTTGTTCACTTTCAGGAGTACCCTCCAGGGGTTTTTCTTGTCCCTATGAAAAGTAGGACAGGAAAACCTTTTCTTACAACGAATTTGATCATATTTGCACCTGCGATTGTTTCTGGTAAACTCAGCGACAACAGTTGTGCTATATCTGGAGATGTTTTGATAGTAGATCCAGGGTGCCATACTAATGTTCATGAGGAGGTATGCACTGTTTCTTGGCTAACAGATCACGAATTAAAGCTTATGCAAAATCATACCGCAAATATGTCAGACTATGTTTATTATGATAATGGTAGCAATCATTTGAGGACTCAGACACTGATTTAATCTCCTTGAGAATCTCATTTTATCTATCTATATCCTTTATGTCTTGGATACATTCATGCTGTGCTAGTAGTGATCAGTGTTATCTGGTATGTGTCTGAACGTTGAAATTTTTTATTGAAGGGTAAGGCTAATGGATATATGCCTTGTAATTTAATCTGTTGGTGGAAAAGACAGTATGCTCTGCATGATTATCTGTTGTTTGAATGTTTTGGTCAGATATCATATTGCATTTTAACATAGTTTTGTACTCATGAATTGCCTGGCAAGTTCGATGTTTTTGATCTATCTTGTTTGCTGCTTGCTTGATCAGCTACTGAAAATTGTTGCTGCTCTTTCTGGAAAATTAATCATATTTGTGACTCATCACCATCGTGACCATGTTGATGGTAAGATATGCACAGATATTATCATGCGCCTCTCTTCACTTGCAATGCAGATCGCTCAATGAATTAGTACCCCTAAGAATTAAATATTGCTAAATTACTTGTTGGATAGATTTGTTTTTTGAAAACCTAGGCCCTTCTACAATTCTTGTTTATTTTGATCATAAAGTTCTCAACATTTACTTTGAATAGTTCAAATAAGAGAGCTACATGTTCTATAAGTCGCTTATCCATTTTAACTATTATTTCTCTTATAGGTCTCTCTATAATCCAAAATTGCAAGCCTGATGCTAAGTTATTAGCACACGAGAACACAATGCGAAGAATTAAGAGAGGTCGTCTGCAAGAAACACTTTGCATTTCTCCTTTCATACTTCTGCTGCTACTTTTTATGGCATTGTTCTAAACCGCTGTGTAATATATGCTCTTTCTCTCTGAGGTTGTGTCTGCAGATGACTGGTCCCGTGACTATACTTTAGTTTCTGGAGGAGAAGACATTCTCATTGGTGATCAAAGATTGAAAGTTGTTTTTGCGCCGGTAATTTAGCCATATGTGTGCTTTGATTCGGACTGCAACAGGTTTTAGTAGCTTGGAACACCAGAGTTTTCATTGGTTGAGAAAATAAGACTACGCTTTCAGTATGGGATATGGTAGATGCATTTCATCACTGAGCATGTTTTATTCCAGCTAATGGCGCTGCATAAAAGCCGCATGTGTGTTCCTCAGAAAAATTGTTCATAGATTCTGCCCCATAATGCATATAATGTGCAAGATCGGAATGCATAGTTAAAATTTTGATCAACACTCGACAGTGTTTAGCTATTATGTCTTGGTACTTTTGCAGGGGCATACAGATGGTCATATGGCACTGCTTCATATCAATACTCATTCTTTGATCGTAGGCGATCATTGTGTGGGGTAAGAAATTTTACTTGCAGGATTTTTCATTCAAGGGAGTCTTGAGTTTTCTTAAATGTGAAACAGTGTTCGGTCCAAATACTATAATCTTGTTTTAGCAATATAGTGTGTGGATTGAGATATAATTGCAGCTTGACTTGTATGCATACATGAAGTAAAATTTGATTACCTCTTTTGTGGGTCATTCGCAGTCAAGGAAGTGCTGTTTTGGACAGCACGTCTGGTGGAAATATGACGGTAAGTTGATTATCGATTCTTGGTTTTAGTGATAATGTTGATACTTCCTCTTCTTTCCTTCATGCCATCTATCACGTTTTTTTTCTCCTCCTTCGCTATAGTTCTTAACATGGTAGACTTGTCATGAGTGGAATAAGTGATGATAAAGCTCAGTTGCACTTCTCTTATATTGCTAGATGCTAAAGTATCATCCTAAAGAAAGGGATACCGTGATGGAATAGCGTCTTCCTGACATAATAGAACACTCCTGCGACTATGGAACCATGTCCTTTTGAAAGTGCCACTTGTAAACATCTTAGATATAAATTATAATGCAACTTTTTATTATATATGCAGGAATACTTCCATTCAACTTACAAATTTGTTGACCTGTCTCCCAACATTTTGATTCCGATGCACGGAAGAGTCAATTTGTGGCCAAAGAACATGCTCTGTGGTTATCTCAAGTAAGGACATCGCTTGCCATTATTTCACATCTGGTAGTCTGATCTCATTTTGAGGTCACTCCGCTATATCTATGGTTACCGAAGGCAATGTTGGTCTTGTCATGGCTCAGGAAATTGTATAAAATTGAGAGTTTATACATCTAAAACTCATTAACTGCATATCAATCCAACTTTGATTCATTGTCACTTCAGTATACTGTATCCTCTACATGATTTGATCTATTTTTCTCAGGAACCGTCGAAGTAGAGAAGCTTCCATATTGGAAGCTATAGAGACGGGAAGTAAGACACTGATTGACATAGTTGCAAAAGTATATTCTGGAGTAGATCGTGCTTTTTGGACTCTTGCTGCATCAAATGTGAGGCTTCATGTGGCTCATTTGGCTGAACAAGGCAAGTTGCCTGAGGTAAGCACTTTAGAGCGTTTGCTTTCCAATGTACATATCTCCACACAACATGTACAAGTGGACACCAGCACTTTTTTGTGCTCAATGTTATCCCGTCGTTTGAACCGACAATGATTGGAGGCCTTGCTAAACATGCTGTAGGGGTTTTCAATGGAAAGGTTTGAAAAAAGCTGCGGGGCACATTTCTTGTCGAGATGAACATTGATATTACCTCATCGCTGGTGTTTCATCATTCTACGGAAAGTGTAGCACCCCCCTCAATTACTTATTGCTGGAGCAGTCACGTACTCTGTCAGGAACAAGTTCATCTCCAAATAGGGGGTGCAGACAGGTAACTGCGACGAATTTCGGTTTAGTGTTATCTGTTATGTTGCGATGTATCACGAAAAATTACAGGTGCTTCTTGTAAACCATAGGGCCAGTTACAGGAACGGCCACTACAGTATAGAGAAATCGCTTTATTTACAAAGAAGACAGCTTCTCTTGCAACCCTGCCTCTGTGGCAAGATGAAGTGTTTGTAAAATAGTTTCTAGTCCCTGTATCGTAACCTCGTAATGGAACTGCAAGCATGATCAAGAGCACGACCCCGTCGTCTTATACCCTTCCTCCACCGAGAAACAATGTATTTCGGCGGGGACTCCTCAACCCCATTCTGGCTAAGAACACTCGTAGCATGCCTGCACAAGTACCCCCTCGAAATCGAACAGATCACAAACGCACAAGACATGTCTCTCTGTTGCATTGAAAACCACCATGAAACTCCTGGTCTGGCTGCTCCTAATTCCATCAACTTGTTCATTTGCTGTATCTTATAACTGGACCATCGGCGTTAACTTGTCTTGCACGGAAACACGAGTGCATACCTTCTAGCAGTGGTACCTTAAACACTTCATTTCCGTCGTCAGTGGGCTTCGCGTTCAGATGCTGTTCATCCATCTAGACGATGTGATTCTTGGATCAACAATTCAACATAACCACCACTCTAGAATATAGAGCATTTGGGTTGCACGAATTGTGAACCAATACAAATATCACAATAATGGTATCAAAATGAATTCAAAACAATATTGGAAGAAACGGGCACTACAGAAACAAAATTAGTTTGTGGGCTTAAAAAGTAGATATCCAATAGTTGAGGTATTGAAGTGCAATATAACTAAAAGAAACACGTCCGACCGGCGGAGGCAATCCCCGGATTCTAATTCCTTCGGCGAAGAAAACAGATTCATAATCCCTAATTTCGGTTTCAACTTTCAATACGATCCGGCAGCTTATCTCTTTCGATTCACCAACTGCCGGCGTGAAATTTTCTTCTGGGGGTTTCTCTAGTTCAGGAGAAAAGGCGATTAAAGCCGTCGGCAACCTGGTCCGAGCATCTGGAATCCAACATCATCATTTCTCTTCAACAACTACTCAAACGAGAGTCAGGAGAAGCCATATTTTGACGGTAACGGAAGTACCCACCTCAAGCTTTATCATTTTCTCTTGAGCGAGTCATGAATCTCACCACATTCGAGAATCCATCGTTAGTTTTTAATTGTGAACTAAAACTGGGTGATGAAATGCAATCACGTTCAAGCTGTTAGTCTTGTGATTGTTTGGTTGAATAAAATGTTTTGTTCTGGTTCTGTAGGGTTTTTAGCAAGAGTGGCGCATGGGCTAAAGTTTCTGGTGATCCAAGGAGTTGGATATACATTTGGTTGATCTCATATGTTTGCTCAGAAGCTAATCAATGGCAGTAGTAGGCAGAAATCCTTGCCTTTGCTTCACCCTCTTCGGAATTTTTCGCTCTGGTCTATGAAGAAGGACCCTGATCTTGAAGCTGCTCTATCTAGAAACCGTAGATGGATTGTCAACAATCAAATAAAGAACATGATTCTAAGATGTCCGGGCCAAGCTGCCTCTGTCAAATATCTGCAGAAGAGGTTCAGGACTCTTGATCTTCAAGGGAAAGCCGTCAATTGGCTCAAGAAATACCCTTGTTGTTTCGATGTCTATCTACAGAATGATGAGTACTACTGTCGATTGACTAAGAGGATGCTGTCATTAGTGGAGGAGGAAGAATCTGTTAAAGATATGCAGGAGCCCTTTTATGTCGAGCGGCTAGCCAAGTTGTTGATGATGAGCACTAACCAGAGGATCAATGTTGTCAAACTTAACGAGCTGAGAAGAAATTTGGGGTTTCCAGATGATTACATAATCAGAATTCTCCCCAGATACCCAGACATGTTTCGACTTGTCAACCACACTGGGAGAAAGAGTTCAATGGAGATTGAACTTTTATCATGGAACCCAGACTTTGCAGTTTCTGCTGTGGAAACCTCAGCATTAGAGAGAGGTTGCAGCCCTTGTTTTTCATGTTCTCTGCCTTCTTCTTGGGTTCAATCATGGGAAAGGTTTCATGAATTCAATGCCATCCCGTATGTGTCACCTTACGATCGTGCCAGGGGATTGGTCGAAGGTGCTAAGGAGATGGAGAAACGAACTGTGGGTTTGGTACACGAATTGCTCTCGCTGACTTTGTGGAAGAAGATGTCAATTGTTAAACTGGGGCACTTCAAAAAAGAGTTCAGTTTACCAGACAAATTGAATGTTCTGTTGTTAAAGCATCCTGGCATATTCTATGTGTCCAACAAGTACCAGATATACTCGGTTCTTCTGAAAGATGCATATAATGGCTCGGAACTAAAAGAGATGGATCCTCTTGTTGTTGTGAAGGGGAAATTTGGTGAGTTGATGCAAGAAGGACTTCATGAGTATAACCAGCGACACTATTTAATGAATTTAGAGAAACAGAAGAAGAAAGGCTTTGTTGCTGCAAGGTCTGGGAAAAAGAAGGATACAAGTACTGAATCATCAGCACAAGATAGAGATAAGGTTAGTGGTTTGTTCAACCCCGAAGAAAGAAAAAGGTTTTATAAGGTTCTTTTTGATGATGCTGGCCCATGAAATCCGTTTGGTTAGTCATCTTCATCAGTAATATGTTTGGTTAGTAATCTGCTCACAATAGGCTACCGGTCTTAATTACTATTATCGGTGAAACCAAGCAAAGATGGAGCTATCCTCAACAAAGGCTCCAAGGTACTTGGGTGAAACTTCCTAGCAAAGAGAAAACAAATGGTGCTCCTAGTCCGATGAGTAAACCCACAGTCGGTCATGTTCCTAATCTTCATTAAGAACCCTTCACTCACATGCTTCCTAACAAACATGGAGGGATGAGAGCCTGGTCGGGACCAATCAACCCACGTGATGCTGTGGTTCGTGTTAATCTCTGGTAAGATCTTGGTCACAAGTGTCGGGAAGTAATGCTCGTCCATGTAACACCGTGGAGGCTTACAATGTTGTTTGAGAATAGAGTAGTACTTTATGTCAGAGACCATCTGAACTGCGACCCTACGATGGACTTCAAACCACTGAGAACCTTTGCGCCAGTCGGCCAGGGTCAGCTCTGGCTGCATTCTTTTGTTGTATCGTCCCCTGCCCATAGGGCGAGGGTCATCGATGGAGCCCAGGAAGCTCTGGTTCCATGAGCTGATAATAAGGTAGTTGTAGATTGTGGTGAAATTGAATATAGGAATGCAGGTATCCGAGAGAAGAATGAATCTTTCGTTCGACCAGTCCAGAAGCGCATTGGCAAGTAATCGCCTTTCTGCATCCACCATTGTTGCTGTTCCCCATTGCACTGGCTGCAGTCAATTAGCTGTAAGTTTCAACTTACATGAAAACAGAAGAAGAAAACAGATTTTAAAAGTGGGTTTTGACCTTGCTTGGGATCATGCGATTGTAAAAGACTGATGATGAATAAGGAGGCGTGAAATCTGTTATCGAAGAAACATGAAGATAAATGGAGTAAAAGCCTTCATGCCCTTTGAAGAACATCTCCCAGAGAGGTGCAAGTGGCAAGCTTCCCCTGCTTAAGAACATGAATGCCAGTTTTGGGGTGCGAGTATAAGGATACTGCGAGATACGTGGCTCCATCGATGCCCGCCACAGTAGCTCCTCGTCGTTCATTGAATGCCATACTTGATCAGCCGATGGAGAAGCCAAAGAATTATTCATGGTGCTGGAAGCACAATCGGGAATCGGAGGAGAGAAGAAAATAGCAGGAAGTACTTCTTCCATTGAAGAAGAGGAAGACAAGAACTCTGTTACATGTGTACGTAAGAAAGCCCCAAGAAACAGAACAATCGACGCAATGAACAAGCATAGAATTATGGTGGTGATTCCTACATGAAGGCTTCCACCTCTACTGGATTCTTTTCTGAGTCGCACTGGAAGGTATTTGGCCAATATTGTCACCTTGAATTGCCCCATTTTTTCTGCAATCTCTGTAACTGCATGGTTCTGTTTTGCTGGCCGAGAGATAAAAAACGGGTTTTAAAAAGGCAATGGAGAGAAGGAATAGTGTGAGGGATGAACGGAGAGAGTGAACACATGGGAAGTAATGTTTGGAGGTTAGAAATGTCAGTGGGAAGCCACAGAAAGTAGACTTTGCTGTTGCAGAAGAAGTGGAAGGGGAGCTGCAGGGCAGAAGGGGAAAAAATGTGATAACAGATGATCATGAATGTCTGTCTTTCTTTTTTGCTTCTCATCTAGCTAGATTGAAGCTACTGTACATTTCCACACCACTAGTTTTTAGGAAAAAATCCAAAAGTACCACTGTTTAAAAAAAAAATTCCAAAAATACCACTCAATCCCAAAAAATTCCAAAAATACCACCCTTTTTCAAAAACCGCCACTCCACCCAGCGGTTTGGTCGAAAACCGCTTGTCGGGGGCGCGGTTTTGGACCAAACCGCGGGCCAAGGGGGCGGTTATAAAAAAAAAAATTTTGGACCAAAACCGCTGGGTGGGGTGGCGGTTTGGCCCAAAACCGCCACCCCAACCAGCGGTTTGGTCCAAAAATTCGGTCGAAACTTCAAACGAACGTAACTTTGCACTCGGGTATCCGATCGTAGCGATTCTTTTTTTCATTTCGCATAACTTTTCAAGATCTACAACTTTTACTAGGATGAAATTTTCAAAACAGGAACTATTTGTGGATATACGGGACCTTGAGAATAACTTTACCTTTACTTTTCAGAAATCCATGTACATTTTGAAATTATGATTATATTAAAAGTTGTAGATCTTGAAAAGTTATGCGGAATCAAAAAAAGTTCATAACATTCGGAGTTTGGAGCACAAAGTTATGGCCCCCCAAAGTTTGACGAAAGGCGAGACCCGGCGGTTTGCGGCTTGCAAGATCTCAAAAAGTTTGCGGCCTCCATTTTTTGAATCCGAATCACTTTTTGAGATCTTGCAAGTCTCAAACAGTCGGGTTCCGTCTTCGTCTCGAAAAAACGTCATTTGCCACCCCGAACGGCATTTTTTTTTATTTCGTCAAACTTTGGGCGGCCACAACTTTGTGCTCCAAAATCCGAATGTCATGAATTTTTTTTTTATTCCGCATAACTTTTCAAGATCTACAACTTTTAATATAATTATAATTTCAAAATGCACATGGATTTCTGAAAAGTAAAGGTAAAGTTATTCTCAAGGTCCCGTATATCCACAAATAGTTCCTGTTTTGAAAATTTCATCCTAGTAAAAGTTGTAGATCTTGAAAAGTTATGCGAA